TGAAAGGGAGAGGGAGGTGAATAGAATTCGATTATGATTGAGATGGAGTTTTAACATAATAACAAGAAGCTTGCATGATGGAGAAGATGATCATTTTAGTGAGGTAAGACCCTCCATTTATTGGATGTGGGAGATTCTCTCTCACTCTTTCAGTATGGGAAATGTGATGTCATAACTGTTTCATCCCTATGAACTCTACCATCGTGTGAGGCCATGTAACCCTAACATGAAAAAGATCACGCATAAATGAAAAATATGAGGAGACTGTATATTGGAGCGTCATTCCCTCCATGTGTTTAGTGCTTGAGGCCTTGCGGGCAGCCACTTAGGCTAACTGGACAAAACCATCTTATTGCTCTATAACAATAACTCAATTTTTGCAAAAGGCAAAGTCTTAAGAATGCTTATAACCTCTGAAGCACGGACATGGTTTTTTTTGGGGGAAAATGCGTGTCGGACACCAACACGTTTCGACATGTGGTCAGCTTTTTGGGACACGTTGACTAAGGGGACACGCGATTTTGACCGAATCCGACACGCGATCAACGTATGTGGACACGTTTTGACATTTTTTGTAAAAAAGAAATAAAATTACAATTTTAAAAAAAGTAAAAATATTTAATAAAAATTAAAAAGTTTAGAACCCTATCATATCTCGTTCACGCTGGACACTGTTAGCCACTCCTTCTCTTCTTCGTCGTCGACTGTCGCCTCTCGCCTCATCTCTGCTTGTTGTCTCTTCGTCCTAGGCTCGTCGTCTACGTCTCCGGTCCTAATCAGAAACCCTGTAAGTCTCTTTCGATCTTGATTTCAACTATTTCTTCCTTGTGTTGATGCTTTTCTCTCCTTTGAGATTGGATGCATTAGCGTGGTGTTTCTTCCTTGTTGTCTCTGCTTGTTGCTCGTTCCATTATGGAAATTTCATCTATGGCTGTTTTGTGTGATCCAATGATGTTTTGCTATCGTGATGTGAGGACCACGGTTCTCATATGATTCCTGCATTGATGGATTAGTTGGTTCATGTTTTGTTTGTTTTTTAATGGTGTTTCATTTCATCCATTTTGCTTTATGGGATGCTATCTATGGTGTATTGTGAATGACTATGGTTCTTTCAATTTTTCAATCTTGAATATTGATTTATTTTGCAACCTCCGGTTTAGTCTCTCGTAAAGCAAAGGAAGCGTACAATTTTTATTTTTTTTAATTCCTTTTATTTTGTTAATTTCATGACCAGCAATGGATGTTGTGAAGTTGTTGATGCTCTCTATTGTTCATTTTTCGTGTTCAATTTTACTATTGGGAAGTTCTATTATTTTTGCTTAATATTTATGTTATGAAATTTGAATATTTGATTAGTTATATGACTTATTATGAATTGTTATATGTATTAAATGTAAATAATATTATATATATTAAAAATATTATTTAATATCAAAACGTATCCCAACATGTCAAAATTTAGCATTTTTTAAAATTAATATGTCGAAGTGTCATGTCGTGTCGTGTCCTATATCGGTGTGCATTATTGCTTATAACCATTTGCAACGTGATTGTGAACTCGTATTTATAGGAAAGTGTGCATCCATTAAGCTAGTAAATACTAAATAACATTTATCTTTGAGGTTAGGAAAAAATTATTTATTTATTTAAATGTATCATGTTAATGACTTAGCGAAGATGATTCAAAAGAACTTAATTTCAATTTTAATAAAATTAACTTTTTTTGAATTTATTGATAAGTATAAGTTTTAAGAGAAAAATTATACTTACAACATCTTCGTTATAACTACTTTTTATTATTATTAGATCCAAATAAAATCAAAATTTCTCATTCGATGTCATTTTAAAATTATTAATTTGATTTTGATCCAATAATAAAGAAAATAATTATAAGAGATTGTAAATATAACTCTCTTAAGTCTTAGATATATAATAATTAATAAGGGTATACAAAAATTGTTAAAGTAATAATATATATGAATACAACTATATTCACCTGTTTACCTAAGGTATTTTTCTTATTTGAAGTATGACACCTGTCTCTCTTATCATATGTGTGAGGGTGTTATGAATAATTAAAGTTAGAGTAAACTATTTTTGAGTCTTCAATAAAATTTATGGGGCCTAATTTAATTTCTTAGAGAAAAAAAGTTAATTTTTATTTTTCTAAATTTCAAAATAAACCTATGTTAGTTCTTTTGATGGACTAATGTGAGTTTTTTTTTTTTATATTCCAAAGGGATCATAATTTTAACTAACTGGATCTATTTTAAATTTAAGAGGAATCACAAGTTGGTTTTTTTTCTAAAGGATTAAAGTTAGTCACGTGATTTTTGTTGAGGAGCTAAAATATACTCTCTTTTTCCCCCTTAAATCTAAACGTGAAGTATCAATTTTACCCTCTCTATTAAAAAACACAGAAAGGAATTAAAAAATCCCTAATTTTAAACACACCCTCTCTATAAACACGTTTACCAGCAAAAACCTTTGTGAGTTGTCTTTCACATTGCCTCAATAGAAAGTCTCAAAAATTGTAACCACTCATGGAGAATTTACCCTTCTTTTTCATAAATTAGAAATGCATAATATTGTGTTTTAACTTGAATCACACAGAGAAAGGTGGAATTAGAACATTGTGATGGATCAACAACTGACACAGACTACTCTTGAATTTAACGTGCCTGTGGAGTGTGAACCGGTGAACCCCATGCGTTGACCTATGAGTGCATGCATTCTCTATTTATCTTATCTTTCTTCATTAAAAAATAAATAAGTAAGATAGAAGGTGTAATTTTAATATGCTCAATCTTTTATAATTTTAAAAGATAAATTAACAGTCAATAATTGAAATGACTATTTTCTTGAAAAATTATAACTTTTTTAATGATAATTCCTTTTTATATTTTACACTTTTTTTTAATCTTTTTATAAGGTGTGATTATTCTTTATATGATTTTATTTTTTTAATTGAAGTTAATTTAAAAATAAACTTATGAACATCATTAATTTACTTCGTGCGAAATTAACGATGCTAAAATATAACAATTTTTAATTTTAAAATAAGTATAAATTTTAATAAAACTATTATATTGGATATAATATAAAAAATTGCTTGCCAAAAAAAAAAAATACAATATAATTTTTTTAAATTATATCACGAATAATAAATTTTATATTTAATTTTAATTATTAATTTTATTCACATCTACTTATATAATTAATAAAATAATATAATTAAATGCGAGTGAAATTAATAATTAAAATTACAATTATCTAAGTTTGATTTTTTCCTATAAAATAATATATTATATTAGTTATATATTTAAATAATGCATAGCAATGTTATTAAATTGGAATAGGTCAATTCAATTTGGTGGGCCATTGTTTCAACCACTAAAATTGAATTTATATAAATATATAATAAATATATATAGGGTGAGATATTCTTATATCAGTGTAAGCATAATTTTCAGTATTGTACGATACAACACAATTTATAAGTGTAATGATACGTATTGGGGGGTGGGGGGGGTTTGTATCGGAAAGGGGATCATATCGTATGATACAATATTGTATTGTACGAAGTATCGTATCATGTATCATATGATACAAAAATTAAATCAAAATTTATAACTTTTATTATAAAAAAAAAATATTTGACTTGTGATTTAAATTCAAAAAAAAGTAAAAATTATTATTAATTAGGAAAAGAAAATAAAAATATGATTTGTGATTTAAATTAAAAAATTAATATGGAAAATCCATATTAATAAACGAAATGATATTGCCAACAAGAATGATAACCTCATATTGTTGAACAAGAAATGAGAAATGAGTTAGATGACTACACTAATGAAGATGATGATCGATTAGTTATGTCACTTATAAATGCTGATAGTGATAGTAGTAATAATATTATTCTTGATGATTGTGAGTAGGAGAATAATTAGTTTGCACTTTAGCAACATCATATAGTATAAATTTATATAACAAAATCCCTTGATACATCAAAACGATGTATAACTTAATCATGCCTAAAGGGGTGAGATTTGGCCGGATAAGAGGTTAATGTATTAACATCGCTGACCAGTACAATTCTCAAAAATTAACATATTATTTTAATATTAATATATTAAAATAAATATTAATTTTTATTTTATTAATATAGTGGATATTATTTTTTATAAAAATTAATATTTTTTGGGCACACTATCAATAAATTTTATAAAAATTAATATTATATGACATATTTGAAAGAATTATATAAATTTTTTATTAAAATATATTTTTATCAAAAATATTTATTTTTATCCTATCTAATATTATACAGTGCATTACCATTTACCTGACACTAGATACTATTATCTTATACAATATATTATTTTATACAACACCATGTCAAATGCTAGATAATATTAAAATTTAATTAGACTTTATACTATCAGGTCTTATCATATACTGTGCATCAAACATGCCCTTATGTATTTTAAATTATTTTTTCATCATATTTCTGTATCTTACTATTCGATATATTCACGATACAACAAAGAATACATGATATCTATTGTGATTCAATAGCCTTAGGTGTAAAAATAAAAAAATCTTAAACTAAATCTTATAATTAATTTGTTTACATCTAACAACTTAAATATTTAATAGATCAAAACTGTTACATATAAATATGATTAATCTCAAAATTAAGAATATAACTTAGATCAACGTAAATGATTCTGAACATATATAAATAAATAAAGCAATATGATAACGGAAATAATCTGATCTAATAGTTAGCATTTCACTTAAAACCGATACGACTGGATTAATATCACACAGACTTATTTAATGTTTAATTTTTTAAAACTTTTATTTTCAGTCCAAATGTGGCATGGCGGCCATATAAGGTCACAGATACGTACCCCCCACACACAGTATAAAAATACGTACTGCAACCACTAGACTAGGTACATACATATACATGCACCTCTACAGAAACACAAAACAGTGCAGAGTGCAAGGTACAACAAACACACACCATCACCATTCACGAACAATAAAAGTAACACCTTTTTTGCCTTTGAGTTTTTGATTTCACACTTTTTCATCCTGTTTTTCTGTTTTTTCCCCCAAATAGAAGGTACAAACTTTTTTCTCTCTCTTCTCTCACTGCCTTGATTGTTTCCACAATCAATTAATTTCCGTTATTAGGGGTTTTTTTTTTGAAATGTGGAGGGACAACAATGGAGTCTTCTGAATCCGAATCAGTTGGTTTCTCCAGCAAAGACCCACAATTGGATTCTGAAGTTGAACCTTCTTCCCCTGTTCCTAACCATGATAACGATCCTCAACCCTCAGATCTCAATCACCTGGCCCAGGCTGATGATGATGCACTTGGTGGGGAGCTCCAGAACAAGCTGGATTTGAAGGATGGAGATGAAACTGAGAATAAAGATTCAAACTTTGAAGCTGATGGTGGACAATTGTGTGATGAAGCTGCTGCCCCAGAATCTGATAAGGGCCAAGTGTGTGATGATGATGATGATGATAATAATGATTATGATGGTTGGAATGGTGGTGATGAGGGCTGTGATTGGATTGAGGATGTGAATGGGAGAGTGAGTGAGAGTGATAAGGTGGATGGAGATTTTGATGAAGTGGATGGTGGTGAAGTGGAGAACAAGGATGACATTAGCAATGGTGGAGCTCAAAAGTACCCGTTGAGGCCTGATGCTGAAGACTGTGCATTTTATCTCAAGACTGGGACTTGCAAATTTGGATTCAATTGCAAGTTTAATCACCCGATTAGGTGGAAAAACCAGGTATCACTTTCTTCTGTCCCTCTCTCTAGCACATTATAACTAATTTCTGTGTATGGTTGCATTAAATGTTTAATAGTAATGCATCCATTTAGGTATTAATTATTGGAAGTGAAGAATAAAATCCACTTATGTAAAATTATCTTTTGGCCAAAGATTTTTTTTTTTCCCGTGTATTTTCTGGCATTATGTTATCAGTGGAATGACTTGATTGAGAAGAAGTGCATTTTGCCTTTGCTGAAGATAGTTTGTTTGATTGGAAGACTGGTACTAACTGTTCATCATGGCGATTATTTAGTAATCAATTGTTATTTCCGAAGAAATTGCTTGCTAATATACTTTTAAATGTCTTTTGAGATTTCTTTTTTTTGGAGGTTACAAGGAATTGAACACAACACCCTACACTACACACACTCCTAACACACACACCCCACACCACTAGGCTAACCCTAGTGGTGCATCTTTTGAGATTTCTTTTTTCCCCATATAGCTTGTCTCAATTTGAAAAAACTTTCCTCTGTTGGTGAGGTCTCCTATGTGGCATTTCTTTAAGGATTTTTTCTAGGGTAAAAAGACAGAAGAGGAAGTATTACCTTTAAAGGATCGGAGCTGTATGGTGATTGAGCATCAATTTGTATCTCTTGAACATTTTATGAATTCAAATATCTTGTACCATGTTCATTTCTTAAAGCGTCTTCTGTGTTTTGATGTTTTAACACTAAATGAAGGCTGTTAAAGAGAAGGAAGGAGAAAGGGATGAACCGGCTGAAAGATCAGGCCAGACAGAATGCAAGGTATGTCAAAATTATGCTGTTCAAGTTCTGTTGCAAACTTTAGATTTGATATTGTATTATCCGAATGTGTTAACTTTGGTTTTTATGTTGATCATGTGTGTAAAGAACCTTGAGGTCACCACCCCAAAAGCTAGCTCAAAGGGTGAAAGTGCCCAAAGCCTTATAAACTCCACATTAGTTGGACATACAACCAATGTGGGACTATATATCTCAACACGCCCCCTCACACGAGAGCCCACTGGGCTTGAATGTGGACAATGCACAGGCTCACCTACCTGTGCGAACAAAGAAATTCCACTTGAAAGAAAGTGGGGGGCGGCGAGGATCGAACGGCTCTGATACCATGTAAAGTACCTTGGGATACATCCCCCCAAAAGCTAGCTCAAAGGGTGGGAGTGCCCAAGACCTTATAAACTCCACATTAGTTGCACACACAACCAATGTGAGACTATATATCTCAACACGCCCTCTCACACAAGAGCCCATTGGGCTTGAAGAGTGGAAGATGCAACAGGCCCAGCCTATCTGTGCTAAGAAAGTCCACAAGAGAAAGTGGGGGGCGGCGAGACTCTGATACCATGTAAAGAACCTTGGGATACACCACCCCAAAAGCTAGCTCAAAAGGTGGGAGTGCCCAAGGCCTTATAAAGGCCATATTAGTTACCCACACAATCAATGTGAGACTATATATCTCAACACGCTCCCTCACACGAGAGCCCATTGGGCTTGAAGAGTGGACAATGCAACAGGCCCAGCCTACTTGTGCTAAGAAACGCCACAAGAGAAAGTGGGGGGCGGCGAGGCTCTGATACCATGTAAAGAACCTTGGGATACACCACCCCAAAAGCTAGCTCAAAGGGTGGGAGTTCCCAAGGCCTTATAAACTCCACATTAGTTGCACATACAACCAATGTGGGACTATATATCTCAACACGCCCCCTCACATTAGAGCCCATTGGGCTTGAAGAGTGGACAATGCAACAGGCCCAGCCTACCTGTGCTAAGAAACTCCACAAGAGAAAGTGGGGGACGGCGAGGCTCTGATACCATGTAAAGAACCTTGGGATATACCACCCCAAAAGTTAGCTCAAAGGGTGAGAGTGCCCAAGGTCTTATAAAGACTACATTAATTGCACATACAATCAATGTGAGACTATATATCTCAACAATGTGCATTAAAATGCAAGTTCCCCTTCCCCGCGGGATTTGCCATGGAAGATTGTGTGAGGTTAACTCAAGGAGGTTTAACCAAACATGTGACCTTATTTTCTTCATTTGTTTCGGTGTCACTGAGATTATGGATCATTTGTATGTCATATGTTCAATTTTGGGCACTTTCACAGTATTTCTCTTCGTAATACCCGTACCACTAAGGGAGACTGGATTTGTCTAGCAAATGTTAACAGTCACCTATGCTTGGGTTTGAGAGTTCAGAAAAATTACGTAAAATTAGAATTCCTTGATCAATATGATATAAGAAAAAATATTCTATATTAGAATTCCTTGATCAATATGCGGAACTCAATAGTTGTCCGTGGCTGATCGTTAAGAAATATCATTTTTGGTTATACATTTCCAGATTAGGCATTGGTATATGCTTTCTATATGGTGTCCATTAGCCATGGACTGGTGATGCAAAGAAAATTCTATCATGGTGGATCATGCTTTTTATTTAGTAGAGTTCTTTCTGTGATGGTTTGGTCATTGTGAAGCTTTTTCTTTTCTCGAAACTTTATTTATTTATTTTACTCATGCCGGCCTGGCTTTGCTGTGTTGAAAAATGATTGGATCTCTTAAAGAAATTTTGGATAAAGCATGTTTGTATATGATGTTTATGTTCAATCTCTTTCCCGAGGCAACATCTTAAACATTTCCTACTACAATTTTTTACATGTTTATAACAACTCTTTTTTGTTTCCTGATGTCATGGCAGTATTATTTAAGGTCTGGGGGTTGCAAGTTTGGAAAAGCTTGTAAGTTTAACCACACAAGAGGAAAGTGTTTAGCAGCCCCAATTTTAGAGCTTAACTTCCTCGGCCTTCCTATTCGTTTGGTATAACCTTAGTTTCTTACTTATCAAGTTATGCTGAAAGTTTATTTGTGTATGCTATCTTTTGTCCCTTTCAGCTGTCCGAAATATTTGTCACCGAAGTTTTAGTAAGGTTATTATTCATGACAGGGAGAGAAAGAGTGCCTCTATTACATGCGCACTGGCTCTTGTAAGTTTGGAGCAAACTGCAAGTATAATCATCCGGATCCTACAGCTGTTGGAGGATTTGATTCTTCTTCAGGGTATGATACTGGTAGTTCTATTTCATTACAAGGTGTATCACAATCATCCATGCCCTTGTGGTCTTCTACTAGAACATCAAATGAAAGTGCTTCTTTTGTGTCAATGATACTTTCGCCTACTCAAGGGGTTTCTCCCCATAGTTCTGAATGGAATGGATATCAGGTAAATCAATAGATTCAATGCTAACAACCATCTAACAAGGGACATTCTATTATATTATTTGTACATGATGACAAATTAGTCTGCTAGTCTTCTATCATACAATGTTAATGTTCTCTGTTCCTGCAACATATACATTGTGAGATATTGTCACCAGTTGGCTGTTGCACAGTTGTCAATAGTCCAGTGTTCGTATTATTTGTACAGTGAATACTGAAGTGAATAGTGGTATGAGTTTTAATCTATTTAAAGATGGAGATTTATTTGACCATCATCAGTTACTTAAAAGTCAAAAACTGTTTTCTTTATGTTTTATTTACTGAGTTTTCTAGATCTGGTAGATACACCATTCTATTGCCTAAGCACACTTATTAAGTATCTTTGGCTGTATGCTCAGAAGTGAAATTGAGCCCTAAATGTAATAAGGGATTGTTAACGGATGCCTTTAGGGCATTGGTTAAGGAAAAAAAGGCAGAAGTTTTAAGTGAAAAATAAAGCATTTACTATATTCGAAGCTTGAAAATTATTTAATACTTTTTTTCTTTCTTTAAGTAACTTAAAACAATATCATAGAGGGTATTAAAACGCGAGTAATAATTTGATGTGTAACATTTAATGTTTTGAATTTCATGCTCATTCCTCAACCTCCTTAGTATTCATTAATTTTTCTGCATGTCTTGATTCTTATGGGGCAAGCTCTGATCTATTGGAATATAAAGCAAAATACCTAGTGTTCTGTTTTTTCCCCTTCCTTTCTGTGAGCTAAATATTCTGCCAGTCCAACCCTTATAATTGATTGTTTTCCCAGCAATTTGACCAATTTGTGGTTTGTAAAGGCACCTGTCTATCTATCTGAGAGGGGTATGCATCCACCTTCAGCATATGTCATGAACAACCCAGCTATTGAAACAAATGTCTATATGCATCATCAAAAGCTGACCCCAGTTGAAGAGTTTCCAGAGAGGCCTGGCGAGCCAGAATGCAGCTTCTTCTTAAAAACTGGGGATTGCAAGTTTAAATCTAATTGTAAATATCACCATCCAAAGAATCGGGCAAGATTACCTCCATGCAACCTCAGTGACAAGGGTCTTCCTTTGAGACCGGTAAGTTATTTTATTTTGCTTCTTTTTGCTTATATGGAAACTGTAAAAACAATTTTTTTTTTCCTGAGTTGGGGAAAATTAGCAAAAATGTGTAAGTTATCAAAAACACTGAAAAATTGTGGTAACCTTTATGATGAGAACTCTTTTTCTAATACAAAAAATTGTGGTAACTTTAATATCCTGTTCTTACTTTTGTTCTGCTGCCTCCATGTTTAGTTTCCCCTTCTTTACATGTTGAAAGAAACTATTTCATGGGAAATCTAAAACTTTGAGTCTGGATTAATCATGAAAAGCTGTTGATTCTGAACAAAAAATGGTTTTGTCATGTTCACATGCATTGAAAATATGCTTTGAGTGAAACAAGAGCATTCAGATTCAGCATAGTTGTATCATATCACAATTTTATATTTTTTCAATAATTTCTGCTTAAGCTTAAAAAGGTGGAGACTTTAAGAGTCTATTTAGTACACCATTAAAAATGGGGGTGAAAAGGTCACTGATGATTTTTATGAGAAAAAATGCATGAAAAACTCCAGCCTGATGTTTCACCCCGATTTTTGAGTGTGTACCAAACTGATCGTAGAAGCCACTTTTTGGCTGATATGCATGCCTTCAATAAATGAAGGTGAACATGTGATTATTGTTTTTGTAAGTTCTAAGAATCTCTGTTTTAGTTAAGAAGTGGTTGTGCATAAATAAATTATTTATAATGGAACTAAACACGGTTATGTAATCTAGAGATGGCTGTGTTTCTCTGGTCCAATATTAAAATGTATTATGAAATTCAGGACCAGAATGTGTGCACGCATTACAGCCGTTATGGTATTTGCAAATTTGGACCAGCTTGTAGGTTTGACCACCCTATAAACTCATCACCCACGTCTATGCCTGAACTTGATCAACAATTCTCCTACCCAAACTCATCTAGTGTTGAGGTGGCTGGGATGGTGGGTGGAAGTGACGGTGCCAGCGGTGCAACGATTCAGCAACCTGTGTTGTAAACATTCTCTGGCAGGGATCTTCTAGCTTCTTTTGAGTTATGCATATCACCCATAAGTTGTAATTATCTTCTTAAACATGATAAATTTTTATTTAACTTCACTGGTTATGCCTAACGCGGCACAACTTCTGCGGAATTGACATATATGCCAAATAGAAGATTTATTACAAGTAACACAGGTAGTCTTTTGTTTCTGGTTTGTTTTCTTTCTCTTGGATTATTGTTGGATTGTAGTCAGGTTGGTGTTAAATGGGTGTGAATGTTGACTTTTTTATGCTTTTGTTGCATGGTTGCCAATGGAGTTATGAACTTTGGGTAATGTCAGAATAGACGAACCCATATATTGGAGACACTAAATGACTTCATGTTATTGTTGTTTTTTTAATTTTACAAGGGATTTATTTAACCTTTGCCTTCTTATTCAGTCACAACTGACCTTTACATCTTCCAAGCCATAGTGGCCAATGACTTATGAGAGTGCAGTTGCCATGTGTGATGTCATGAATTTTCCTGCTTTTTTATCCACATTTTTATTAAGTTGTCTTTCCTGTTGGCTGGTTAGTTTAATTTATTCCTTGTTCTCTGTATATTTTTGGCCCCTTTGCTTCAAAAATAAGTCTACAATAAACTGGCGATAAGAGCAAATTTAATTTATAACCCTATGTTTTTAAATAGAAATGAGGTTATCCTTCACGGGAGTGGATCTTCTCATGTGAAAAAGTAGTTATGTGATCATGTTATTTGATCACAATCATTCATTGATGATGAGATGAGAGAGAGAAAAGTGCATAATTTTTAAATGAGTGGTTGTGATCAAATAACATGACCACATGATTACTTTTTCACATGAGAGGATTCACTTCCATCACTCATGTAGCTTATCATCAACATTATAGAATACATTTGTAGAAACTAAAGTGATCCTGTTTGTCTTGTAAAAGGAGTATGTATTTTTTTTTTTTGCCAGAAAATAGTATGTACAAGTTTTGATCCGTTATATATATATATATATATATATATATATATATATATATATATATATATTGTGATTTTACTCTAGTTTTGTTTAAAAACAATTATTATGATTTGTAACTATTTCTGTTTATTCACGTAAATTTATCTTTTGCACATTTTTTTAGAAAATTTGGACTCATGAAAGCACAACTCTTTCTCTAACTTTATTAAATTTGGTATATTAAACATGGTGTTACAAATGTCATCAAAGTATCTGAATAAAAAACAGTATCTTACAACATATTCAAAAAAATTGTTTAAATTTTAATTAAAAGTTCTGCTGATGAACACTAAAGCACATAGTCGCTCGCATTCCTGAGTCTCACATTAAATTATAAATTCTCGTCCAATCAAAAGGTTGAGGGACCCAAGCGCTTTTGCGCTCCTAAACAAAACCCTAAAATAAATTTTGTGAATAAATCTCTTGATTGTGCTTTTTAACTTTATGCCTATTTTATTTAAAAATGTTTGCTGACACTAACAAATATTCAAATTAATTTTGTTAATGCTATTTCTTCAAATTCAAATAATATTAACAATATAATTCCATCATCATATGTTATGCATATTTTTTTTTAATTGAAGTTTAGGAATAGAGGCTAGCTGTTTTAGGGTTACAACCATTGTTATTAAAATCTCGATTTATCAGATTACCAAAAAAAAAAAAAAAAAATCTCGATTTATCACTACGATTTTACGTTTTTACGATTTTTTTCATCAAAACGATTTTACTAATATTCCAAACGCTTTTACGTTTTTACGATATTTTTACATTACGATTTTATGTTTTACGATTTTTTAATCCCCTTCTGATTTCACTTAAGATATAGATTTTAACAACATTGGTTACAACAAATGATATAAGCCTCAAAAAAAGCCTTTTAGTAATATTTGCAAGGAAAAAGTGTGTAACATTTTAAAGGATGTAAAGTTGTGTCATTTTAAATGAGAAAAAAAAATAGATAAAGGAATAGAGAGAGCAAAAAGTATAAAGGTGTGGGTCTCATCTCTTTGTGAGAGTGAAATGATATAAGTTTGTCATTTAAAAAGACAAAAATACTTTTCCCTATTTGCAAACTATTTATCATTTTGAGAATGCCAGCAGTAAAACACAGGCATAAAGGTTATGAAGAGTTTTATTCTAATAAAAAAAAGGAAAATATTACTCTTCTTTTTTTTTTTTTTTTTTTTTGATAACAATATTACTCTTCTTTACATGAAAGAAAAAATACAATCACAAATTAGAGAAGAGAGAATAGAGGAGAAAAAAAAATATAAAGTAAGTCTCACCTTTGATTTGTGAGTATATGAGAATTTTTCTCTCATATAAATATACTTAAGCCGTACTATGCATTGGTTATTTGGCTTTAAACATAACATTTGAACTTAAAAATATGAAAAAGTCACCACTCAGGAACTTGTATTTTCCCTCAATTATCAAAAGTACTTGGGTAAAAGTTAAATGTCTACCTAAGAGAAGATAAACTTCATTTTTTTTTCATCAAGTCAACGTTGATTAGTAAGACCAAATAATATGCCATAACCGTTCAAAGCAAAACACTGGGACGGTAACATCTCACGATATGCCAGCGTTGATTAGTAAGAAAAAATAATAAGATTTAGTCTTTGATATGGCTTCATATAGATTTGCATTTAAGAGGCGTTGACCTCAAATTGGATTGTGTACGAGAGCCAAAGTCAAATTTGCATAATGATATTGATGGAAACTGAACTGCGGAGCCATGCAAACCTAGTACAAAGACCATTTAAAAGTTGCAGCTTTCATTCTTTCTTAAATTAAATGTACAACCAAGTCAAAGTCAACCCTATACTAAAAAAATAATACACATCTCAAAAGTCAAAGTGAACCCTATACTAAAAAAATAATACACATCTCAAATATACAAGCCCTGCGGGATCACAACAATGTAAAAGACGAAAAGAGTTAAGCCTCAACGTTAGCTTTATTTCCAGCAAGGATGAGGGAGATTTCAAGACCACGGCTGAAGGCTTGATTAAAGAGAAGGCGAGACTGGAAAGTGGAAATGAATGGAAACCACGATAAAAACGCTATTGGCGCAAAAATGATCATCCCCATTCCGGCATCATACATTCTAGCAAACTCACGAACAGAATCCCACAAGCCGAGACTCCAAACTATCCTCTTCCATGCGATTGCCAACTGAAAGGAGTAGAAATTTTTACAAATGTTAGAACTGGGAATTGACTTCAAATACCAGCAATGATGCTTACAAGTGTCAAATAAAAAGAAAAGAAAAGAAGCGGTAATGAATAGTCAGTTTTACATAAACTCTATTCGGACCTCAGGCAAAAACACATGACGATCCCACATGCAACCCAATAAGTGTGACCCAGGAGTTTTACAGTACTATTTCAGAGTTTGACAGGAATAAAGCGAAATTATATCAGCCGTGCAGGAAGAATGGTCAAGAAAAAGGTTACCCCAACGATAAGACCACGACCACACCACAATAATTCAACAGTGAAACGTAGAGTTAAGACTATTTAACCCTCATATGAGACTATTTAACCCTCATTGCTCATAGTCATAGTATTTTAATTCTCTACTAAGCTACATTTGAAGTTAGAATAAGAATAATAACATCCCTTGAAACACCATGCTTTATTATTGTTAGAGATGTAATATAAAACCAATCACGTGTCTTCACCTAACCGTTCAAACATTTGGAGTAGGTTTATGACATGGTATCAAAGTCTCTATGACCAAATGACCTAGAGTTCAATTTTTACAGCTCCCATTCTTCTAATAAAAAATTGAATTTCAGTATAAGATAAATGAGCTCAAAAAGGGGTCTTGGTGTGAGGAGACACGTTAAAGATATAATATAAAACTATTCGTATAACTTCACCGAAAAAGGCTCAAGAAATAGTTCCTGATGGAAATTTCTATGGTACAGCATTATTGGTTCCCCCTGATGGGAATTATATGGTACACCCTTATTGTTCCTTTCCGGTTGGAAGTATCATGGATCCCTAGACAAATGCGGGACAAATCTCAATGCAGAATTCAACAGTCCATGATACAGGAAATCCAAAAATAAGGGTACCATGAAACCTCCTTCCTGATAATCTCCAGATTGATTCAACTCAGACACTGACCTCTATTATATATATCGAAAAATCCAAAATTCAATCACTGGACTGCCCAGTGAGTGTATAGTGACTATATTCTCCCTCGAGAATATAGTGCAAAAATATTACAATGGTATTCTTCAGGTGTTCTCCCGGGAAAACATAGTTATAATATTTTTTGCACTATATTCTCGCTGGAGAATACAGTGCACTGGACCAAAATTACATTCAGTCACTTGATACTCACTAAGCCCTATATATATATATATATATATATATATATATATATATATATATATGGAAAAAACTATTCTTATGTTACATGTGATAACTTTCTCTCCTACACACCCTTCGATAACTGTGTCACCTTTTTCTTTTATTTTATTTTTATTTTTCAGGTGGTGGAACCCACAAATTTGTCTCTATCACATGAGATAACTTATCTCCTTTAACATGAGATTAATAAAACTTTACATATATATATATGAATCAAGACTCCAACTTACAGATAATATTCCCCATCCGGTAGGGATAAATGCAAGGATGCTTGCAAAAAGGTCAGCTATTGTCAGTCCAGTAAAGGCAACAACAAGGCACACAGCTGCAACAAGGCCTACAGCCGCAACTCCCTGTGAAAATCGCAATACTAGCTGAAAATCGGCAGATTCCTTCGGGCTGTAGGTAAAGATCTGCAAAGCAAGGAAATATCAGAATTTTCAGAAAAGGGGTGTGTCAAATATAAATGAAAGAAAACATTTTTTGTCCACAAAAAAGATCAAATTATCAGGAAAAGTTCAAACCTTAAATATCAAGACAATTCCAACCAAGACAACCCATGAGAATCCATATATCTACAATGTAGAAAACAATCAGAACCTATAAATAAGAGTCTTATTTTATTTTTTAGATTAATGAAATATTACTATAAGCTTTTCATATAAATATAAGTAGACATATAATTAGTACAGAAGAAAAGCAGTCATTTTGTATTATGTTTTTTGTTAGGACTAAGTTCATGAGAAATATCTAATGCGTATAGGAAGACCAAAAAGTTTACCGCAAGTGATGTATCTTTTCCAGTAAGATGCAGCTTATACACAATACCATATTGAAACAGGAAGAACCTCGCACTCAAAACTGTCTCCAAGATACGACCCCTCAAAGTTTGGATATGCATCTACAGAAAGAGTAACTTTCATTAGACATTAATAGAGAAGGCATCGACTTGTGAAGGCTATTCTAGCAAGCCTTTAGTGCAAATAACATGGATTATATAGTTAAGAAATACTTAAACACAAAAGTTTATTCGTGCTGCACAGTGTTATATATAAGTGTCCTAGACATCTTAGTGTAATATAGCCATATTACTTGTACTTAACTAACTACAAAAGGCTACAAATAAGAACATTGTGTACAATGTTACTCACTTGCACATTCACACAAAAAGAGAATATAGATTCACTTCTCTTTTATTGTGTGAATGCGTGAGTAACATTGCACACGGTGGTCTTATTTATAGGCACTGAGTTAAGTAGTATGGCGATATTACACTAAGATGTGAAGCACCCTAATGGGTTGAAAAAGTGAATTCCGTTATAATAATAGAGCAACACAGACTCAGTCTTCAGTATTTCTTCATTTTGAGCCCCTAATCATGCTAACAATCAAGTGAAAAAAATTAATGTTAACCTGTTCTTCGTCCCACCAAGACTCCCAACTGTTATCTCCCTTTACTCCTACTCCTCCTTTGTAAAGAAGCCAATTTGTCCAATCATCAAAATCTCCCACAGTCCTGTTTATCAACTAATCAGATTAGAAAGAAACACTCTTGCTACCATAATTCATATAATGATATTCATCGTCTATCCAAAAAATGAAAAAAAGAAAAGAAAAGAAAAGAAAAGCAGAAGATCCATTTAGAAATCAAACAACAACCAAACTAAAATCAATAACAGCCTATTTGGTCCTCCAAACATTCGTGACTTGAAAGGAGAAAAACTAGAAAATATTATTATTGCCTTCATAAGATCACAGGCACAAAGGGTTACAATATTTATAGAGAAACTAACAGGCAAGAAAGGAATTAACCCAAATCCTAAAAAATATGGAAACATAATCTGGCTAGGGGGGTGCACATTTCAGTTCAGCTCGGTTTTCTTTGCGGAACTACACTGAACTGGTTTATCTTTTTGAACCAATTCATAACTAATTCAGAATTGATTATGAACCAATTGTGAACTGATTAACCAATTCTGAACTGGTTTTAAAAATAAGTTCTGAATCCAAATGAAAAAAATGAAAAGATTGGGGAAAAAAGGATAAAAAATAAATAAAAATTAAACAATTAAAAAGAAAAAGGAAAGAAAATAAAATAAAGTAAAAATGAACATAAATTAGAGAAAAAAAGAAAAATCAAAATCAAAAAGAAAAGAAATAAAGTAATAAAAAAAACTCTAAATAAATAAATAAATAAGATAACAAAACAGAATTAAAGGAAAAGAGAAGAAAAAAAAAATCCAATTCGATTCATGAGCTGGTTGGTTTTTCAAAAATCACTTTAGTTAAGGAAATGGATTTTGAAAATAAATTTTTTTAAGTGCAGTGTAATTTAGGTTTTTTGATTCTTTTGCATACCCTTATAACTAAAATGAAAAGTATAAAAAGATTGAGTTAAAGGAAAATATAAATATAAAAATATAAATATAAATAATACTAATTCTTTTAAAAAAATCAATAAACAATTTAAAAAAAATAAAATAAAGTAAAAATAAAGATACAAAAAGAAAAAGAAAAAGAAAGTAATAAAAATAAAGAAAAAAGAAGGCACTAAACAAATAAATAAATAAGAGAAGAAAAATAAAGAGAAAAAATAAAAAATTAAAGAAAAGAAGAGAAGGAAAAAAAATCAATTTGGTTCATAACTTGTTTTTTTAACTAGTCTAGTTTATGAACTGGTTTTTAAAAACCAGTTATATTAAATGCAGTTTATTTCGATTCACAGTTCAGTTCGGTTTTTTTTGTTCTTTTGCAAGCCCCAAAATCTGGCTAGTAAAAGAAACAAAATTACAGATATCTTCCATATTTACAACACTCCTCCTTAAGTCGAGGAATGTATATTTATCATTCTCGACTTGCTACTTAGTTCTTGAAATCTCTCAATGGGAAGTTTCTTAGTCAAGACATCAGCTAGTTCACAACCAGAAGAAATATATGGAGTAATTAATGATCAATCCACATCTAGCTTTTCTTTGATGAAGTGGCGGTCGATCTCAATGTTTTGTTCGGTCATGTTGGACAGGATTATGTGCTATAACGATGACTAACTTGTTATCATAGTAGCTTCATAGGTTCTTCACATTTCATTATAAGATTATCTAGAACAATCTTCAAACATAGCAGTACACAAATACCTTGGATCATGACTCAATATTATGCCTTTGCACTTGACCCAGCAACCACATTTTGTTTTTTACTGTTGAGATATATAGTCACACATTGATTGGATGGACAACTAATATGGCCTTTATAAGGCCTTGGGCACTCCCACCCTTTGAGCTAGCTTTTGGGGTGATGACCTCAAGGTTCTTTACATTTACTTCTCCATATTACTTGGTTTCCACAAATAAACATAGAATAGACCGTTGGTTAGTCACAGACCCATCATAATTAGCGTCAATATATACCTCAAAGAATAGTTTTCCCTATCTCGAATACTAGTCCTCTACCGAAGGTATTGGAGATTTCTCTGTACTATGTGCCGACATTTTACCCTTGGGTCGTGCATGAACTGGCTAACTTTATCAACTAAATAAATCAGGTCTAGTATAAATCAAATATATCAATTTCCTACCAACCATTGATTTGCCCTTTATCAACTAAGGGCTCTCTCCTCTTCTTGTCCCAATTCATGATTCTGCTCAATTGGAGTATTAGAAGTTTTACACCAAAGTTATCCTCCTTCTTTAAGGAGATCAAGAACATACTTTCTTCGACAGATAAAGATTCTCTGCTTTGAATGGGCAACCTCTTCCAAAAAAATATCTCAATATTCCAAGATCTTTAACTTCAAATTCAGCAATTAGTCTTTCTTGAAGAGCACGTTTTTTAACTTTATTATCCCCTCTTATAACAATGTCATCAACATAAACTAGGAGAATAATGAGCTTGCCTTCTTGGGAGAATTTAAGGAAAAGTGTGTATCTCCTTAACTCTGCTTGTATCCTAATGATAACATAACCTTGGTAAATCTTTCAAACCAAGCACGTGGGTAGGAGTGCTAAATGAACAGGGGGCCTTTTAGGGGCCTTTGGTCCTGCTCGTGATGACTTGAGCTTATATGTCTAAATTTGGCTATTGGAACCAAACTTGGATTTATATAAAAACTCTAATAAAAAAGACTCAGACTCCAATTCAAAAGCCTGGGCCTTAAAGCTTCTCAGGTTGGCCTAGTATACTAACTTTTATTTTATATTAGTTGTACTACTCATAATAGCCCTCTCTCTCTTCAACCCATTTCATCCCATTTTATTGGTTAAACAGACTGTTTAAATGATTTTATTCTATATTATGTTGTTTGGATATACATTGAATTTATGAATCTTTGTGGAATTATTAGTGCTATTGATCGTATATTTTGTTTGGATAAATTTTTGTTGTCTTATTTTTTTTTTAACAGGCAAAACTAGATTTTTTGTAAATAAGCCAGGCCACAGGCCAAAAATTATATTCATAGCAGCTAACAGGCTAGGCCAGACTGACATATTTAAACACAGGCTTAGCTTTTTTAAGACCAAATCTCGGCTTGGCTCTGCCCGTCAACACCCTTACACATGGGGATTGCTTCAACCCATACAGGGCCTATTTTAACTTACATACTTTACACACTATCAGCCTCATCAACTAAATCTTCTTAATCGTTATCATGTAATGTATCAACTGGGGAAGGAGAGTTTGATTCATGAGGTTTAGGTAACGGAAAAGGAGATTCAGGCTCGAATGTTCTCCCCCTGAAGGTGAAGATGAGGGAAAATAGGATTCAAATTCATGAAATGTGACATTCATGGTCACAAAGAACTTACGACTTGGAGAATGACAGCATTTGTATAACTTTTTGTAGGGAGCATAACCAAGGAAGACACACTTAAGGGCATAGTATTCCAATTTACTTCGATGCTGTTTGTGGATATAGACAAAGGAAACACACCAACAGACGTGAGGCTGAAGACTATGTGAAATTGGAACAGATGTAAAGGAGTGGGTCATGGAATGAATAAGATTTACATGGCCAAGAACCCGAGAATATAAGTACTTGATCCAATAGGCTGCAGTTAACATGGTTTTCCCCCCAATAAGAGTTGGGTATACATGTCCGAAACAGTAATGCTCTAGTGACTTCAAGTAAATGGCGATTCTTTCTTCCAGCAACCCTATTTAGCTAAGGGGTATCCACATATGTGAGTTCAAGAACCATAGTCTTATCTTTTATCAATTGGGAAGGCGCTAGTTGACATACACTCAATCATATGATAAAATTGGATGAACAACTATGGTACTTCTGCCTTGTCTTTCACCAAGAATATCTAAGTTATTCGAGTACGATTGTTAATAAAAGAAACAAACCACTTAACTCCAAAAATACGAGGGACCTTAGAAGGACCCCAAACATCAGAATGAATAATGGAAAAAGGGTTAACACTTTTTATTGCACTAGGATGAAAAGATACACGATGGTGTTTTGGAACCTCACAAACATCACAATGAAAAGACTCAATAGACTGAGATAGAAACAAAGCCGGAAATATAGACTTGATCAAACTAAATGGAGGATCCACGGGTGCTTGTGATGAAGCTAAATCAGAGAATCTAGAGTAATAAGTCATGTGATCGGTCACACCAGAATCTACAATCCATGAGTTTTTAAAATCAATGCAAGAAGCAATAAGAGATTGAGTGCATGTGCTTTTACTAGTTATAGCAAAAGAACCAATGTTAGAGAGCTTAATGAAAAAGTCGAAAATAAATCTAGGTCGCTCCAATTCCTCACGGAGAATAGTAGTAAATTAATTAGGCACACGTGAGGCTTCACCAAAAGTACTGACATTTAGGGAAGATAAACAAGTTTGGCCATGTGGGGCTGCAAACTGAGTTTCTCCATAACTTGCTGCTTCCCATGAAGACGGTAACAAATGTCTTATGTGACCTGACCTTTTACAATATATGCAACAACGCCCTTTTTTGCTAGATTTAAAAGAGGACCTCTGATGAGGAAGCTTAGCCGAGATCATAGCAGATCCATCAGTGGATTTAGAGTCAGGAACAAACCATCATGCAACTTGCCATCCATCATGACTGTCCGATGACTCTCTTCAGCCCCAACAGTACAAAAAACTTCAAAAAGAGAAATAATTCTTCCTCATCGAGAATCTGCACCAGAATAAGGTCATGCTCAAAGTTGAGTCCACGAAAAAAAATATCAAATATCCAATTCCTTTCAACTAAGACGGCTAGGGTAACAACATCCTTGCTACACTCCATTTTTAAGTTCTGGTATTGATCCAATCAGGTGGCAACATCCTGCTTCATAGAGTAGGTTTGCCGAAGAACATCCAAAATCTCGAGGGCTATAGGTAAGAACATGCAAGAGATCTTAAATCTTGCCGAACTTGAGACGGAGCGTGGCTGGCTTTCTAGTTACAATACCACCGTAGATGGGTAGATCACTCAACTTTGAGAATGATAGTCCTTTGGGTCGAAGAGGTCGCTGGAAATTTTTCTAGTGGCGCTAGGCTACGGTGCGGTGGTTGGAAAACTACAGGAAAGACATCGAAATGGTGGTTCGACAACTGAGCACACTAGAGGCGCAAAAAATTCCGTACAAAAGGCAACGGCTGCAGAAGCAAAAGGCTCCCATATCGAGAACTCTGATGCCAACTTGAAAGAAGGAAAACTGAAAAATTATTATTGCTATCGTAAGATCACATGTACAAAGGGTTAAAATATTTATAGAGAAACTAAGGTGGCTAAAGTAATAAACTCAAATCCTAAAGAATATAATCTGGCTAATAAAGGAAATAAATAATTACAAATAACTTCAATATTTACAACATTGTGTCATCGATTTGTTCATAATACATCAAAATGGTCTTCCAATGTCAATTTTTTACATAAAATTGGTCCTCCAAAAGGAAAATTTTGACGTCAAAAATTAGCATTGAAGGATCATTTTGATTTATCAATGATTAGAGGTCCAATTGAGGGAAAACATAAGTGTTTACTATTAAGAAAATATAGGGTTAAGTGTTTCTCCTTTTATAGGAGATAAAATTATCTCCTATGGTCCCAAAATAACGTCATCTTAAGGTTCAAGAAAACTCTTTTTTGTAATTTTGATTTATTTTGGGGCTATATTAGTCTTCATCATGATAATAAAAAATTCCAACACCAAAATGACATCATATCGAGATCACATGAGAAACCTTTTACCCATAAATGAACATTAAAACCAATGGAAGAAATTAAAATTGCAGGCAACTTACTTTTGCCACTCAAACCCGGATGGATTGAAAATGTAAGGGGCGAAAAGCCAAGAAATGACAAGGAACCAACTGCTAATAGTTAGCAAAATATATGTAACAGCACCTCCCTCGGCATACCCATATCCAATGTAAACTATAAGGAGGAGTGCTACTTCAAGCCTGTTGCATTGCACAAAATTAATAACATCAATGTAATTTAGTTTCCTTCAACCGTGACCAAAACAAAAAGAAAAGAAATAATAAATCAACAGCAAACATAACTCACGCTTTGACAAAGTGGCTCCTAGAATATAGTCTGTAATTTTCAGCAAACTTTATGTGACGGACAACAAAACCCCTACCAGTTGCTCGGTACTACGAAGAAAAGTCAAATGCATATGTAAGTTACATGGAACAACTAAATATTCTGAGCTTTCCACATACAAAATAATAATAGACAACATACTTTTGCACCCCCGTGTAGAATAGTACGCCCAAAATAATGAGTTTTAGTTCCCAATGAGAATGTGAAGAAGACGGAACACAATTGAAGTTGCATTGTGATGAAACTGAAAATAGCCTGCAAACATTTTCATGAGATAAGGACTTAGGCCACAAAAGAACAGAATATGAAGGTTGATATTTTATAAAGACGACCTGCCGATATGTGTTAAAAGAATTATAAGTTTAGGATGAGGGGAGAAGTAAAAGAGAGAAAGGCTCAGAGTAATAAACTAAAATATAATTGATAGATGCAATATCGTTGTACAATACCTTAATCTAATACTCCTATTAATATTTAATACCATTAATTAGGTCAAGTACTATTATACAAGCCCAAGCTTATTCACAATAAGACTAAAACCCATTACAGTAAGAAAGCAGTCAACAGAGATATTCATATTCTAACATAATCTTAACATATTATTATAATATTATATCCATATGGACTAACCTTCAGTAATCCCAATTCAAGTATAAAACCCATTATCATTGGTACTGCAGTAAAAACGCCAATCTGGACCAAAAATTGAGCATTCAAAGCTGCATTAAGTGCTGTGTTACCCATAAGTTTTGCCTGCTCTGAGACAGCTTCATCAAGACCAGAGAATGCCTGAAAGAGGAAGTAGCATCAAGGAATAATACCATGATCATTGCAGTCCAAAAGAGTAGAGATTTAGCCAAAAAAATTATACAAATTTAACAAAATCATTTTTCTTTAGAATGTGAAACTGTGTTTGCTGCAGAATTGAGGAAAAAGCATGCAAACCCAAATGAACAAACACTTCACCTAACCTAAGTATTAGGTTTATACTATTCTCTAACAGTTCCATACACCTGAAAAAGTAAAACAATCTTTCTTGTGTGAGGGGGTGTGTTGATGTCTATTGATATATGAAGTGTGGGAGGAAGCTATAACACCTCTACACAAATGATATTCAGCAGCTCTATTCTATCATTTCTCAGTTCATGGATTTGCGCAAATCATCTAATTCAGATAGAGACATATGTTGGCAAAAGTTGATCTTTGATGCAGGCGTACTTGTCTATGTTGCCTTACCCTACTGATGCTTCTACATATAGTAAATAGGTGGAGCGCCTCTTTATGGTTGCCACTCTTTTTGGTCTTCCTGAGGAGTATGAAAGTGTCACAGACACTCTTGACAAGTGGGGATCTTGATTTATCATTGACTTACTAACGCCTTTTGAATCTCAACAAGAAACCAATCCCTACTCCTGATTCATCTTCTGTTGTTGATTCCATTGCTCTCATTTCCCATAATGACTCTCGCGGGAACAGTGGACGTGGTCGCGGCCTGGGCTAGGGCGGAAGTGGTCAGAGACCCCGTTGTAGTTATTGTCAAAAACTTGGTCATTATGAAGAGCATTGTTACAAGAAGTATCCTCACTTGCAACCCTCTTATGCTTCGAATATAGCTCAGTCAGATACTGTTCATCTGGTTCAGTCTCTTTCCTGCAGACTATGCAGCACTCCGTACTCTTCTAAAATAGGCTTCTCCTCGGCCTCAACCTTCTGCTCCAGATATTTGTAATCCTGTTACTTATGTTTCTCATTCTACATCACTTGGTCCTTGGATATTTGACTCAGGTGCTACTGATCACCTCTGTTGTAATAAGGAACTCTTTACATCTCTTACTTATTCTCATCATTTACCTTCCTTTACCCTTGTTGATGGCACTAAAGCCCCTATTTGTGGGATTGGACAAGCTCGTCCAATCTCTTCTTTGACCTTGACATCTGTTTACTATATTCCTAGCATCCCTTGTAACTTAATTTCTATTAGTAAATTGCTCCACTCCCTTACTTGCATTATTACCTTCTCTAACCATTCTGTTTTTTTGCAGGATCCGGGTACAGGGAAGACAATTTGAGTGGCCGTGAGTCACTGGATCTTTACTATCTAGTTGTGCCTCGTACTTCAGTGACATGCTCTCTCATAGAATCTCCACAACTTATCCACAGCCGCCTCGGTCATCCAAGTTTTTGAAAATTGCAAAAGATGGTTCCTCTTTTATCTGGTCTTCAATCTTTAGATTGTCTCTCGTGTCAGCAAGGGAAGCACACACGCTCCTCCTTTGTCAATCGAGTCAATAAACGAGCTGATGCTCCTTTTTCTCTTATTCATTCTGATATTTGGGGTCCAAGTCGTACTTTGTCTGTTTTAAGTTTTCAGTATTTTGTTACTTTTATTGATGATTATACCTATTGTACCTGGATTTATTTAATGAAAAATCATTCTGAGTTTTGCACCATTTATAAAAAGTTTCTTGCTGAGGTTTATACTCAATTTGGTGCTCTATTCATATTTTACATAAAGATAATGCAAAGGAATGTGTTTCTTTTGACTTCTCTAATTTCTTGGCCACACAAGGTACATTACACCAAACTACTTGTCCTCACACAACACAACAAAATGGGGTGGTCGAACATAAAAACAGACATCTCGTTGAAACTGCCCGAATTCTTTTTATTCACATCCATGTTCCTCTTCACTTCTGGGCAGATGCAATATTTGCCTCTTGTTTTCTCATCAACTGCATGCCGTCCTCCGTGCTTAACAATGACATTCCCTATAACCCGTTGTTTATAGATGCTCCTCTCTATCCTTTATCCCCATGTCTTTGATTGTACCTATTTTGTTTATGATCTCAACCCTGGTAAGGACAAATTAACATTTAAAGCCTTTAAGTGTATTTTTCTTTGTTATTCTCGTCTTCAAAACGGTTATCGTTGTTATTCTCTTGACCTTAAGCGTTAAATTGTTTCCGCTGATGTCACTTTTCTTGATCAACAACCCTTTCATTCTATTCCATCTCAGTTGTCACAGGATCTTCCTGTTCTTTTTCTTGACTTGTCTTTACCAGCTACGGGTGACTCTATCCCAAAGGAGCAACCTTTTGCCTCCATCCCTGGATGATTCATCGCCTATTAGCGTCGTCAGACTATACCTCATGCGGACTTGACCATGGATGATTCATCGCCTTCTCTTGTCAACTCTTTCCATCTGACTCCTTCACCATAGGCTCTTCCCATGACCCAAAGAAAAGGTATACGTACTACTCATAACCTTTATCCTCTTTATACCTTTTTGAGCTATAACCGTCTTTCAATTCCTCATTTCACCTTTGTTTCCATTTTTTCTTCTATTTCTATTCCTCAGACCACAGGTGAAGCACGTTCCCATCCAGGGTGGCGCCAAGCGATGCTTGATCAGATGACCGCTCTTCATTTCAATAGCACTTGAAATCTTGTTCCTGCTCCTCCGGGGGAGTTTATTGTTGGTTGTCGGTGGATATTTACTGTCAAGGTTGGACATGATGGCCATGTTGACTGTCTCAAGGTGCGCTTAGTCGCCAAGGGCTTTACTCAGATTTTTGGCCTTGAATATAGTGACACATTCTCTTCTATCGCTAAAATGGCATCTATCTGTATGTTTCTTGCCCTCGCTGTTGTTCGTCATTGGTCACTCCTTCAATTGGACATTAAAAATATTATTCTTCGTGGTGATTTACAGGAAGAGATTTACATGGAACAACCGCCTAGCTTTGTTGCTCAGGCAGAGTCTGGGATGGTGTGTAGACTTCGTAAGTCCTTATATGGCCTCAAACAGTCTCCTCGGGCGTTGTTCAGCCATTTCAGTTCTATCGTTCAGGCTTTTGGCTTAATTTGTAGTGAGGTTGATCATTCTGTGTTTTATAGGTGCACATCTCCTGATAAGTGCATTTATCTGTTAGTCTATGTTCATTCACACGGGAAGTGATCAAGCTGAGATTGACCAATTAAAACAATATTTGTTCAATCAATTTCAGACAAAGGATCTTGGTAAGCTTCATTACTTCTTAGGGATTTAGGTGGCACAGTCTAGATAAGGCATTTTCATTTGTCAAAGGAAATATGTCTTAGATATCTTAAAAGAGAATGGTATATTGGGGTGTAAACCAATTGATACACCCAAGGATCCTAATATCAACCAATTGATACACCCAAGGATCCTAATATCAAATTATTGTCTGGACAAGGGGAGCCATTATCTGATCCTGGATGTTATCGGAGGTAGATTGAGAAACTCAATTATCTCACTGTGACTAGGCCGGACATCTCTTTTGCTATTAGTGTGGCTAGTCAGTTTCTTGACTCTCCTTGTGATTCTCATTGGGATGCTATTGTGAGGATCCTCCGCTATATCAAAAGAGCACCATGGAAAGGCTTATTATATTCAAATCAGGGACATATAGAAATTTGTGATTATTCAGATGCCGATTGGGCAAGATCACCCTCGGATAGACGTTCTACTTTAGGTTATTGTATCGTCTTTGGAGGAAACCTTGTTTCTTCGAAGAGTAAGAAAAAAACTGGTGTCACCCAATCCAGAGCAGAGGCCGAGTATCGTGCAATGGGAGCTACCGCCTGCGAACTAATACCGTTAAAATAGTTGATTCGGGAGCTCCATCTTTGTGAATAGAAATAGCCCATGACACTCATTTGTGACAATCAAACTGAGCTACATATATCATCCAATCCTATATTTCACGAGAAAACCAAGTATATAGAGATCGATTGTCACTTCATCCAAGGAAAGATTCAATCAGGAGAAATCAAAACCGCATTTGTCAACTCCAAGAATCAACTCGAGGATGTCTTCACTAAAGCTCTTAGAAGTCCTCGGGTTGAATACATTTGTAACAAGCTAGGTGATCACAATATATACGCACCAACTTGAGGGGGAGTATTAGAATAGTATGTTAAAGTAGTATTGTGTATATAATAGAACAGTCCCACATCTTGTACATGATATATTAGTTTCAGTACTTGTTAATATAAATATATTCCCTGTGTGCTCGTATTAGACACACAATTATCCAATCTCAAGTGAAAACATGTACATATCATAAGAGTTGACAATATTAATTTCACAACTATGAGATCATCATCTTATCCAAGTGAAAACAACATCAACATCAACATCAACATCAACAACACCTTTATCCCAAATTAATTGGGGTCGGTGGTAGATGAACCCACATGAAAGATACAAAACGGTTGAAAAAAAGTTAAAAAAATAAAAAATAAAAAAAAATAAAAAAAATAAAAAAAAATAAAATAAAAAATAAAAAAAATAAAAAAGTAAAAAAGTAAAAAAGCCAAAAATAAATAAATAAAAATAAACAAATAAAATAAAAATATAAAATAAGATAAAATAAAATAACAATATATGTATATATAAATAAATAAAAGTAAAAAAGAAAGGGACAAGAAGAAGTGGGGGAAATGAAGGGGAAAAGGACTAAAAATGGACCATCTGGAACATAAGAATAACAGCGGGTCTAACGCTCCACCATACTTATAGCTTTTCTCCATTCCGTTCTAAGACATACTGTCCGCCAATCTATATCCCACTCCATTAAATCTTGTTTTACTACTTTCCCCCAAGTAAGCTTCGGCCTACCTCTGCCTCTTTTTGTGTTGAGCTCTTGGTAACAAACTTCTGTTCTTACAGGAGCATCCATGGGTCTTCTCATCACGTGCCCAAACCACCTCAATCTATGTTCTCTCATCTTCTCGGCTACCGGTACTACTCCGACCTTTCGTCGAATATCTTCATTTCTTATCTTATCCATCCTTGTGTAACCACACATCCACCTTAACATCCTCATCTCTGCTACTCCCATCTTATGCTCATGATGCCTATGTGCTGGCCAGCATTCTGCTCCATATAGCATTGCCGGTCTTACTGCCGTTTTATAGAATCTTCCTTTTAACTTCAGGGGGATTTTGCGGTCACACAAAAACGCAGATGCACTGCGCCATTTCATTCACCCTGCTCTGATTCTGTGATTTACATCCTCATCAATCTCTCCACCGTTTTGTAAAATGGAGCCCAAGTATTTAAAAGCATCTTTTTTGGGTACCTCTTGACCATTTAGATGCACAGGTTCTTGGTCCTCATCTCGTACCAGAGAAAACTCACACTTCAGATACTCAGTCTTGCTTCGACTTAATGTGAATCCTCTTATCCAAGTGAAAACATGCAGGAAATTTGTTTATTGGGGGTGGAACAAGAAATTTGGTAGAAGAAAAGTGAATTTACATATAACCAGGAGGATATAATATCGTTCTTATATAAGGAACAATAAGAAAACATAGGAAGGAGTCTAATTATAGTCTCAAACAAAAGTCGTGAAAGACAGAAAGATAGTGAGACCAGGTCTTATCAGTTTACCAGGTATGCTCGTCCATATAGGAATATATATACTGTGAGGACTGTCATCTACATAAGAAAATTGGATAAAATTAATGAGTCAATCAAGACCAGTCAACGTCACCACATTTTCATTGGAAAAAATGACTATCTAAGAAAGATACCATAGTGCAGACATAATAACCAACAGTTGTGAAGTAGAAAGAAAGCATTCTGAAGAAATCAAAAAGTTGTCCAAGCCTGTAAACATCCCTGCTAAGCACTTGCTCTCCATTACCACCTGCCACTTTCCCTTCAAAGAGGGCAATCTGATTTAACCCAACATCCCTTCCTTTTCCAACCTACAGAAGTTAGCAGCAATTCACAAATGAGAAAGAAGAGTTACATGGAGCTGAAACTAGAAAGCATATATGGTGTACTTGTATATTCAACCTGAATGTATTCATGGTGTGTGATATTTCCCAGCCGCAAAGTAGAATTGAAGCCTGCAGTATATTTATGTCTCAAATTCATATGATTACTTATATATAGAACAAATATATAAATGGAAAAACACCAAGAGAAAGGAGTCCCAATTAAAATACCATAATCATTGATTCATTGTGTTTAACAGGCGCTAATAAGAGAAAGCACCAATCTTAAGTGCATTTAGTTGTTTTAAATTATAAAGCACATCATTCATAGTCGTGAAAGCCTTTTCCCACTAGGTGAGGTCGGTTACATGGATCAAATGTCACAATTTTGTTTTGTAAAAATAAATAAATATAAAAGGCCATTTAGATAAAGGTCCTTCTTAATAGTTTCTGTTAGTTTTCCTTGAGCCCTCAATTGGTGTTCTCCTCACATGACCAAACCATCTTAGGTGAGATTATGTTGCCTTTTTCTGAATAGGTGCTTCTCTAAATTACTCTCTAATGCATTTATTCTTGATCTTATCTTTTTTTTTGTATGTCAACTCATAAGGATACCAAAATCAAGTAATGCGAGTAAGAGGAGAGGAGTGTGGGTTCAAGAAAAATGATGCATTCCATAATTGCATTAATTATATGGAAATACAGATTCATTATATAAATACAGTATATCCATTGATAAAAAGACAAGTGTCACTAATTCATGAACAGATTCATTCTTTCTTCTCTTTTTTTGGTGAGATAGTAAACATGAGGATAAATGACTAAAGAAACTTTCCAGTTTTCCACAATATTGCATCATATTATCACATCAGATCGAAAAGGACATGACACGTCTTAAGCTAGAACATCAAGGGTAAATCATAAATGAGCATGGATTACAGATACCATTCTTTACTTACCAGAATATATATCTTCACTAATATTAATAACACGTGATGCCTTACTAATGCCTCCTCGAGTTATGTGAAATATTCTGTCAAATACATCTGGGTGCCCATAGTGCATGCGAACTCTGCCATATTTTTTTCCAACCAAAAAATTTGAGCAATGACTATAAGAAATGATAGACTAAATTAATAAAAAAGCTCTAATTAGCATTCATTGAGAGAATATAAAATAGAAAATGAAGACATCGGCATTTGAAGTTTCAAGGACAAGTGCAAGATGGTACATGTGTGTTTAATGCCACTTATGCTTCCATATAGTTGGGGGAGGCCATTGAGACCCCAATCAATTTAACCGCCATAACCAGACTACCAGAGTTCATTATGACCCACCAAACAATACTTACAGATAATGGAATGTGTTGTTGAGTGAGCCTAATGGATATGGCTTTAAATGGGTCAATCCTTGGATGTCTATTAGCCTACTGCAATCTTCTAATTTTTTAGAAAATCAACCATCATCGGTGTCATAATAGTTCTTAGTTTGGACTGATTTTAATGGTAACCATGCCACTTGCCACAAAGAATTGTTTTGTCAAAAACCAACTCTCTAAAAAATTTAAGTTGTTTGGTAAGACACATGAATGGTTTTTGTTTTTGTATTTATTTTTCTAATACACTCTTTTACTCAAAAGCCCTATGGACTTGAAGAAGGGCAATGAATAGGCCCACCTAAAGCAACAGAATAAAATATTTTGGCACAGCAACTAGTGTTGGAAACAGATTCAATTTCTACTTAATTAAATTCAGAGACTTGGTCTCTTAAAGAAGCTATAATTTTGTGTTATTGTTCTGTATTTACGGTTCATTGGTGTTTATGGCTGCAGAGGAATGCTAGAATGTAAAGTTGTTATACAAAACTATTAATTTGTCTTAACCTAATAGCTCAAGCTTTAGGGATAGGTGGTTAATGACAAGGTATTAGAGCCTTTATGACCAAGTGGTTGATCCTTAACTGCCCCTATTCTCTTAAATTAAAGATGAATTTCAGCACAAGATAGGTAAGCCTCTGCATTGCCAGCTGAGGAATGGATATTTATCATTCTGAGCTTGCTAGTGAGGTCTCAAAATCTTACAATGGGAAATTCCTTAGTAAACACATCAGCTAATTGAGGTCCTAAACGGATATATGAAGTAGTAATTAGCCTACTATCCAATTTCTATGCTTTATCCAGTCATATTGAATTGGATTATGAGCACTGTCATAAAAAAAATCCATAGGTCCTTCATGTCTCACTTTGAGGTCATCTATACTTTTCAGTCATAGTAGTTCATAAACATCTTGAGCCATAGCTTTAAATTTTGCCTATGCACTTGACCTAACTACCACATTATGTTTATTACTTCTCCATGTTACTAAGTTCTCTCAAAAAAACATAAAATAGCTTGATGTTCATCTCTAGTCAGTAATGGATCCTGCATAGTAAGCATCGGTATAAACTTTTAAGGAAAATTCCCACCTTTTCAGAATACTAATCCTCTCCCTAGTGTAGCTTTAAGACACAGGAGAATTCTTCCCATGGTATTCAAGTGTCTCTCCCGCTGATCGTGCATAGAGTGACTCACAATATTGACCACATATGCTAAATCTGGTATAGTGTAAATGAGATATATCAATCTTCCTACCAGCCTTTCATACTGTCCTTTTAAACCTTAGGACTTTCCCCTTCACTTCCCTTTTTGTGATTATGCTCAATAGGGACACCAGAAGCTTTACACCCATCTTTTCCAACTTCTTTAAGGAGATCAAGAACATACTTTCTTTGAGATATAAAAATACCTTATTAGTATCGGAATTAATAAAAATGTTTTAGTTCCTTGTATGCTTGATTCTAAATTTAATACATAATTTCCTGTTCATCTATGATACATTAAGATACGTATTCTGTAAGATATTCCACCAATTTTAACAAGAAGAATGACAAATATTAGGAATGGCAAAACTGGCCAAACCCAATGGGTCAACCCATTTAATTGATCAATAACGTGCGAGAGAAAGTGAGGGAAAATGAAAGAAAAGCAAAGTAAGTTCCATTGCTTAGAAAGCTTTTATTGTAAGGCAACTAAAGATTATCTACTTGACTACCTCCAATCTGTAATAACAGCCTAGCTGACTCAGCATGAGACTGTTAGTGGTGACCAACAGACTTCAGCAACTATAGTAACTACCATATGAGTAGTTACTCTAATATCACAAGATTTGGTTAGACTACCTACATATTTTCCAATAAGCAGTAACGTCACTGATGCCAGAAAATAAAACAAACTACATTAATAGCCACTAGTCTAAAGGGAAATCAAACCCATATCAAGTCAACAAATGCTTGCAAGATGAAAGAAAGGAGGAAAGCTTAGAAGTATCATTCTTAGAGGATGATGTTAAAATAAAAACAAAAATACTAACTTCATGGGTTCACCAATTACTTTTGTAGTGTCTATAGAGTACAGATTATCAGCACTAGACACGACTTACTTGAGAGGATATGCTAAAACACGTTGGGCCAAGGTTACAAAGCTAGTTTCTTGATTTGACATGAACCAAGCCAAGGATGAGACACTGCAGCAATATCAAACATGCAATACGTAAGCAAAATATTGTGGACAATGAAAGCCCAATAGTGTCACTTTGTTTATCAAATTTCTAATTGGTGCATGCCAAACCTTCCCGTAAATACATGTTCCCTCACTCCAAGAATGCTTGGAGCGTGAAGGCCATGATTTGCATGGAACTCCTCAAGAAGATTTCTCATTTTCATTGCCTCCTCAAGATAATTGTCCTGTCAAATAAAAGAGATCAAATTAATTTACATATACCTTCTTTCTCTCTGTCATTTTTCAATCCATACTTTTGAGGGTAGAGGGAGAGAATTCTCCATTAAACATCCTTTGTCTCAAACACCTACTATAGGGAACTTAGAGAAAAGCTAGTAACGGCTTCTGGACCACATAAAATTAAGATTGGCAAGTATACAACACATCAAACGATCATCGCATGTAAAAGTATAACAGGATAAAAACTGCTGATCATCATGACTGACATAATCATGTGCCACCCACTTATAAAAATTGACAATTATGACAAGCATACAACAATAGGTACAGCATAAAAGCCAATAATTATAGATATTCATATGTCTGATCAATAACACTGTTGCCAAGACAAACAAAAACAGATGTTCAAGTCGTCTGTTTTTAAGAGACATTAAAGAATATATAATTATGTTCAAGTCTCTAAGAGAACTCAGATCTTCAGAAAAGAAGTAAACTTCAGTGCTAACTATAAAAACAACAATGTCTAAGTGACTAAAAATGTATTTTTGCATGAAATCACTTGACAGAAGTACTACATTTAAATAAAAGCAATGCGAAAAGGTAACAACTTTTAATCACCCATGAGCACATTGTTGATCGTAGCATAATAGCTCGTTCAAACCACCATTGCACAATGCCAGAAAATGAGAAAACATAACCAGATCTTTTATAGCCAAATAAGCTTTTGTAAATTACAGTGGAAGCCCCACTTATCTCAAAAATTTAAAGAAAAGAGAAGCACCAATGCCAAAACATATAACATAATTCAAACATGACAAAGCATAGAACTGAGAGAACCTTACTTTTCCTTCATTCCCTGTTAAGTTGTCCATTGTAGCACAATTTAAAACATATTGTAATCAAAAGTTGTATAAAAGTTTGCAAAGAAATGAGCAAATGACCATATGAGACATGTCTTCACCTGATTCATGTCAATAGTTTGAACGGCATCACCTCGAGTGAAAATTATAGCATGGTTTTGGTTTTCAGGCTTTCCTTCACCAAGCTTAGGATCCCCAGGAAGTTTAATAGAATATATTTCCTATGTACAAAGAAGAGCATAAAGAACCATTCAAGGTAGGAAATGAAAAACAAAATAAAACTAGAAAAATAAAATAAAGTATTTCATCTGATACAGTTAAATAATAACTTTATCATAGAGCAGGAATAGAATGACCAAAAATAGCATAAAGATAAAAGATTCCTATTTTTAATAATGATTTACAAAGCGTTGAATCCAAAAACAAAAAACAAAAAAAAGGAAGATGGAAAATGAAAATAAAAAAGAACAAGAAAAGGGATAAAGAATTCAGGAACTACAAAGAATTTGTTGTGCATAAGCTAATCAAGAAAAAAAAATTAAATAAAGAACAAACTGCTCATATAATATAGACCAGAAAATTGGAGACAGTTATCAAAGCCCTAAGTACAAGGTAAGCGAACAATTAGCAGTATATTGCCGAATAACAAGCAAAAAATAATAATTTTAAAATAAGTCTCTTTGAAGAAAAATAACTTTTATTCACGAAGATTAAGGGAATGGAGAATTGTAAGGTATCTTCTAAAAAGACGGCAAGTTATTATATTTAACGGAAGGGCAAAAAAAGATACAGACAAAAGAGGCATCAGAATAATCTTTTTGGATACCTTGTTTTAGAACAAGCAAACTAAAATATAATGGTAAATCAGATTGTAGAAAATGATTACTGATGTGCCCAAAGACAAGAAACATCGTTAGCCATAACCACAGAAACTAGCTTGACCACCAAAGCTTTTGTTTAATTTAGAGGGTATTACGTACGAAGGGAGACAAAGTACAAAGTATAAGGAAACAGGGAAACTAATTCTAAGAAATCATCTATGATACTAAATATTCTACGGCCCCTTTGGGAGAAGGCTATTATTTCGAAAGGGGGGGGGGGAACCTATCCCTAAAAGTTTACATTGATACAGACTATGCCAGATTTATAACCGATTGGCATTCAACCTCTAGATATTGATTTTTTGAAGCAAAATGTGATTGTCGAGTGCAGAAGCAGAGAATTTCGGGCTATGGCTCAAGGTATTTGTGAAATGCTATAGCTGAAAATTATTCTATATGTTGAGATATACAAAGCTGTTGGGTGAGGCTACATTAATGGTTTTATATATCTCAACACTATATGATCACGAAGTGAGGTACAAATGATCTATAAAGTGGTTTTGTGATAATAAGTCGGCCATTTGTTTGTATAGCCCATAATCCTAATCAACATGATATAACGAAACATATTAAGATCAGTAGTCATTTCAGTAAGAAAAAGATGGATAGCGGCACGATTACTACTTCATATATCCCTTCAGTTAGCAGATTTCTTGATTAAGGGACTTTCTACCAACAAATTTTAAGATCTTACTAGCAAGCTCAGCCTAAGAGGGAGTGGTGTACATAAACTTTTGGAGTATAGATGTAATTAGTCTCATATCTTTTAGTTTAGCCATTCTTTTATTTGGCTTAGTCTATATATAGACCGATGTACATTGGAACGTGTGCAAATAACATAAGAATTTTTCCCATATTCAACTAAGAGTCATCCACTATTAATGTTCAACAAACGTGGCAGCCGAAAATATTAATCCTATACAGACTGCAACGGTTGTTCGAGTGAATAGGAAACCATCCCAAATGCTAGTTGCGTAATTTGCTCCCTAGAAGATGGAAGATAACATCACTAAGGGCAATAGTGAGTGATGCAAATCTACAGTTATCCAGATCTAAAGAACTTGAATTAGACAAGAGAATCACAGCAAGGCTAGGCAACAATAATTATAGTGTACAAGTTAAAGAAACAAAACACAAGATACGATGATAAACAATACCCTCACAAATTAGACAGAATAAGGCAAGCAATGATTGGCAATGTTCCAGGAGCAGATCCAAGTCTCTCAACATTGCTCTTATATAGCACACAAGAAGCCACACTCCCAAGAAAAAAAACTTCAAGATCGCTACCGCAAGACTTTAGTGTTGGCCAAGACAAATGCTGACACTGGAGTTCATGGGCTGGCCAACAACGCTGCCATGCCCTAGCAGGAGCCCATCGTCAATCCAGCCAGGTAGAAACTCTGGGGATGTTGGTCCAGATTTGGATTAGTTGTCGGGTTGTGGTTGCTGTTGCTGAAGAAGAGGGATTGCCCCCTCGTGATTACGTTGCTCACAAACCATTGAAGATAACATGTCAGGAAAGTACCCATCATTGCACAGTAAGATGCTTTTAGGATCCTCCTCCACCATGGCACTATAATTGTGTCCATAACAGGGAATATGCACAGCAAAACTGTTATTTGTTTCATGACGTTCATTATCATCAATTAGAACCCAGTCCCATGAAGCCCCCAACAAACCAACAGACCAATCAGAATCATCAAATAAAGGGCCAGAAACACATCCACCATCAGACGGAATTATAACTTCATATTCCTGAACTATTTTCCACTCTTCCATACTATGCCATTTGTGCTATAGATGAAGGCACATTTGCCCACTGAAAAAATGGAAATCTCAAAACATCCAATTCTCTCATAATAGAATCAGGTGAAGAATTTATGGAAGACCTAGTTGCGATTCTTGGCTCTTGATACTTTCCATCCCAAAACCACGAGTGATGGATAAAAGCCACATCCATTTACTTAGTGCTGTTGAATTTTCACAGCAAAAATATTTGTATGGGTCCTTCTTGAACCAACAGTAGTATCTCATTAGGTGAACCTTTAAACTGAACCTGCGATGAATAGCAGTACCACTACGGTAGGAAAACCATTGTGAGCAAAATGATGGCTAAGATGCACCCCAACAGGCAAGATGATGCATTTGTAGGTGCACAAGTAATCGAGAAGCAACGTGCAAGAGTATCAATGTGTGATGTGCAAGAGACTCAACCAGATTTGGGTGGACGTGGAAACCATCAGAATGTCAATGGACGAGCAATGAACAAATCTGGGCATAGGGGGGCTGGGTGAACTTCGTCAGAGTCGAACTAAGGCACAAAGTTCTGTCACGCACTGTGTTGTAAGTATGGAAAGTATCTGTAATTATTTGTTTACCTTTTTAGTCATATTAGTGTTCCCTTATTTTTAAGATTTAGGTTTATTCCTTTAGGCCCTTTAGCGTGTATATATATATATTGTATCCATTCGTACATGTTATTTTAGAATAGCAATAATATTTCGTATTTCTTTTCAAGTCACTGTCTAGAGGAAGCACGCAAACTTCATATCCGAAGACAGAAGCTTAGTGTGAGAGCGCATGTGATGGTCGATGTAGTCTTGCAGGTGGTTCGTCGTTCTGGGCTGTGCTATCACAACTTGAGGTTGCTAGACTTGAAAACGATGGTGAAGTACTAGTTTAAAGGAACCCGCAAATTTTGTAACCGTACATGACCCTTTGGATGGGCATGAAACTTCGACAATTCGTAGATCGACAAAGGACAATACTGGCAAAATATTTCCAGTAGCAACTAACGGCAAAGGAGATTACATATGGTAAAAGACGGGACAGGTCATGAAGGCACTGAACTGTATGGAAGGAGAAAGAAAAGGAAAAGACTTGAATGATCTGTTTATAATATTGTATGTGTTATGAATGGATACAAAAGGCCAAGCACTAAACCCTATTTATACTAAATAGGAGACTCTAAAATAAGGAAACTAATCCTAAGAGATCATTTGAGATACTCTAAAATATTTTAAAAGATACAATCCAGATATTATGAAATACTTTTCATACGGTTAAACAAATTTCTGGAAAACAAATTAGTTGAAGAACTGGGTTTAATATGGAAAATTATACTTAGTTTTATCCGCTTATGACAAGTTACTAAAGAAAGAAAGAAGAAAAACTAGAATAAAAGTCGAATTACAAAAACATTAAAAATATTGCCAAGAAAGACCAAGCCTTTTGGATCCATAGGACAGCCCTCCCTAACCAACTAATACAACACAGAATTCATTGCATTTAAAACTTCGCCCAAGCCACTATAAAATTGCGAAAATTCAAATATGTTAGCACAAATATCCATACCAATCTATTTCAAGAAAAACAAAATGAGCAATCAGAAATGCCACTAGCAAGTGAATGCTAAATAATATGTTCAAGCACTTCCAAACAGGTTAAGACTATCTGATGAGCACAAACTGAAATCAGTAAAAATTTCTCCACCTGATCTTTTCCATTGATATCGGCTTTGACAAGCTTTGAATAAAACACTCTTGGGGTGTTTGCATCGGTTGTACTTTCATCGACATGAATGAAAGCAACGCGGAGTGCCTCATTCCTGATAATAAAAAAAAACATAAATATGTTACATGATGGACAACACTATTTAAATAAATTAAAAAAAAAAAAAACATTGTTGACACATAACTATGAAATAAAATTTATATCACTATAACACTTTTGTGAACTAAAATGCTTCTAGTGATATGATATTCAGCAACATCCTCACCAATTAGAAAAGCATTTTGATGGGCCTGAAAGTGAGTGAATTAGTTAGTAAGTTAGTTAGGAATTCTTCTAGAATATTCTTAGGAGATAGGATAAAAGGAGGGGAAATGTGAGGAGTGAGGTAGGCATGAATTTAGTGAATAGTTGGGGGAATTGGGGATCTCTTGAAGCCTAGGATTGCTGGCTTTGAGGGTGAGTTGGGGTCTTTTGGGTTTATTTTTCTGCAATTTGTGTTTGTAAGGAGCTTGTCTCCATTATTTTCCTTTAATATAATTTTCTGTTCCGTCAATTTGGTATCAGAGCACTACCAATCATGGGAGTACTTTCTGGTCCATATTTGTGAAGACATGTCAGCCATAGAAGGAATTAGCAATTTTGAGCTCAAGGAAATGATATTAAAAGTGGTGAAGGCTTTCGATGAAGCAATAGATAGGATGGAAACATAGACTTGAATTCATGAGGAACAGTCTTGAGCATAATATGCCGTTTTGCAGAAGAACTTATCAAAGAAGAAGAACCAAAACATCAACATCAACATCACCTTTATCCCAAATTAATTGGGGTCGGAGGTAGATGAACCCACATGAAAGATACAAACGGTTGAAAAAAAAATAAAATAAAATAAAATAAAATTCAATAAAATAAAATAAAATAAAAATACAATACAATAAGAAGAAGAACCAAAAGTAAAAAAAAAAAAAGAGAGGAACATGTAGAAGACAAAGGAGGAGGAGGAGGAAACGAAGAAGAAACAAATCGAAGATCAGACGATGACATTGTAGAAAAGGAAAAAAGAGAAGATAAAGAATAAACTAAAGAAGAAGAAGAAAGAGACAAAGAAGATGTAGCAGGATCAGAGAAAAAAAAGGGGAAAAATAATAAAAATGCAGAAGATGTAGAAGAAGTTGAACAAAAAGAAACAAAGGAGAAGAAGAGAATAAAGAAGAAGAAAAGAAGAAAAAAGAGGATAAGGCAGCAGTTAGGCGACCCTGTACAACGAATTTGGAGAAGGTTATGTCCTTGGGACAGCAAGCCGAGCAGACGGTCGAAGAGAAAGAAATCGTTGAGGGGAAGATGGTGAACAGTGTGGGCCGAAGTGGGTCAAATGTAAATGGGCCATACACACAGGTTGCACTTACGGCCCGTTCCAATAATACAAATGGAGAAGGAATTGGGAGAGGGGGTTTACGTTCGCGAAAAGGGCCAAACAATTTTAACCGCGGGCCCAATCCAAATAATAACACCAGGAACAATGGGGTTCAGCAACACAACAACCCAATGAGTCCAGTCCCAATTTAGGGCACACAACAACAGTGAATGGGGAAAGCCAAGGTTTGATACAAGTGGGTTCCGCTACCAACAGCAGCAACAATGACCGACGCGGTGGAAGATACCAATGACTGACAGTGGCGGAGTTGGCTGACTGCTGCTGGGATATGGACAGAACGTGCAAGCATATGGGGATGGTGACGGACAACGAAAGGTCTCGCTTCCCAAGTGAGTGTGAGGGAATTAAATGGGTACTGTCGGGTATGTCAATTGCTCAAGAAATTCCAGCATTTCATTCTCTTCCCAACATCTTATTTGGGTAATATATGAACGGAGTTGTTGCATTGAAGATAAAATAACCTCAGGCAGGGAATGGTGCCATTGTGGTTGCACCTAGGTGTAAAATTGCAGATGACATGGGTCCACCAAAATGTGTCACTTAGATCTTGATTGGTTTAGCCAATGTCCTTCCAAAGCATAAGTTAGTGTAAAGAACCTTGGGATACCAAGTTGGCTGGGCCTGTTGCATTGTCCACTCTTCAAGCCCAATGGGCTCTTGTGTGAGGGAGCGTGTTGAGATACATAGTCCCACATTGGTTGTATATGCAACTAATGTGGTCTTTATAAGGCCTTGGGCACTCCCACCCTTTGAGCTAGCTTTTGGGGTGGTGTATCCCAAGGTTCTTTACAGTTAGTTCCTCAAAAGGATAAGGCTCAAGAATTGCAACTGACAAAGAGGTTAAGAAGCTTTAAAAAATGGAATCCGGGTGGATATTTTCTCACATCACCTATCCTCTTTCTTCACCTTGGGGGCAAGGTGAGTTTTGGAGGGGGAGTATTGATGGGCCTGAAAGCGAGTGAATTAGTTTGTAAGTTAGTTTGGAATTCTTCTAGAATATTCTTAGGAGATAGGATAAAAGGAGGGGAAATATGGAACGTGAGGTAGGCATAAATTGAGTGAATAGTTGGGGGAATTGGGGATCTCCTGAAGTCTAGGTTTGTTAGCTTTGAGGGTGTGTTGGAGTCTTTTGGGTTTATTTTCTGCAATTTGTGTTTGTAAGGAGCTTGTCTCCGTTATTTTCATTTGATATAATTTTCTGTTCCATCACATTTATATCACAAAATCCTCAAGCAAACAAATTACAACTTCAGTGCTCGAGTTTCTAGGAAACAGCACAAGAAACACCAACACAGAAAGAGACAATGAAGAACCAGAGATAAATCCCCACCAAACTTCAAAATGTGGAATTGACAAAAAGTGGCATCGCGAGTGGACTTCAAAAATTCAATGAAATATTCAGGAAGCCATTCATACCAGTGAACCACAAATACTAAGTTACTTAACCTACGGATGTCCATATAAAATTCACTATTAAGTTGTCTCAGTCTTAACTTGAATAGCACTCAAGAAAATATGAGCATGCATTTTCATACCTCTGTAACAATAAAGAAATATCAGCAGCTTCTGGTGCCTTCCGCTGCTTTTGTTGACCAAAAATTTGGCATGACACAACATAAGTAAACTTCAAATCTGTTTGTGCCCTTGATTCACGTGATAATTCAAAACCTTGACTTGTGATGAAGTTGTTTTGAGAATAACTGTCCACTATTGATACAACAGATGTAAGCAAATATCCATGCCAAGTTTCACTACAGAAAATCACAAGGTGCATTACTAAGTGTTCTTAAGCAACTACCTCCCCGAGATCTGCTCTCCAGATAGCTCTGCAGCATTAAAGCCCTCCTATAATACATCATACCACGCACTGCAAACCCAGAGAAGTAAGAGATTGTAGAAACATCAGTGGCAGTTTAATAGAAACAGAGATATCAGATAGAAAGAGAGATAGAGAAGATAAAACTTGTACATATTTATATAAACAGACTCATAACCATCTAACGGAATCTAATAACTGATTAACAGAATCCAGACTGACTCAACTACAGTGAACTACTAAGTTCACTGACTGTGACTGACAGACATGACAGTCCAAGCAAGGTGCAACAATACACCGTCTCTTACACAGTTCTTAAGGAAGAAACCATCATTAACAGAAATAAACTTACTGTGTCTCAAATATGTTTTAAGGAAACAGAGAGGAAGACAGATAAGATATGCTAAGAATTTGTAACCTGTCCTAGCTAGAGTCTGCCCTCGATAAGATGCCCAAAAACGAAGCTCCAAAGTGTCACTGGAACTTTCTTGAAGTTCTTCATCCCCAGTGGACACTCCTCGACCAATTCGTTCGAGAAAATTGTCCCATTCATCTGCAATAAAAAGTAATTCAAGCACAATCCCAAAAGACACAGTTCAAGACAATAAAAATCATTCCTTGTCCTTATCCAATCTCCAAACAGCTTTAGCTTTTGTATGGTTGCTTCTTCACACACAGACATTACCAAGATAAAAAAAAAATTCCCTTCTCAAGTTGGCTATTGTGAAACACAAAAAGGGATAATAATGAAGTTGTAAAATTGGTAGGCATAACCAAATGCAGATAAATCTTTCAAGAGCCAAAAGAAAAAGCAGATGTAGATGTAATAAGGACAGACTTTTTTTTCAAAAAAGTCAATCTTTAAGAAACATAACATGAAGAACTGTCAACCCAATATGAATTCTGAACATTGACATGAGCTTATTCTTTGCCGGGAGAGAAGACACATTACCTGGATATATCTTTTGAAGATAGAAAAGAATAGATATTCCATCTTCGTTCTCCTTTTGCAATTCAGAAGTACTATAAAGCACAGTTTCACTATAGTATGGGGTGAAAACACTATTACAAACAAACAACAAAAGGAAAATGTTAATATGGCAGGAAAAGAAGAAAAGAAACTCCACTGTAAACAATACACATACAAATGCAAACACCTGAATGGCAACATTTCACTAACAGGCTTTGCTGAAGGCATGTCCATAAATAATGAATTTGTGAAAAACTCTAATCTTCTCCTGGCTTCAAGATTTTTTGGAACATTAGCAGCAGAGTCCTTTACAGAAAGAAGAAGATGCAACCGCTTCACGAGCTCTTTCTACAACAAAGCTTAACAATTACTTTCATATGTTATACAGAAAAACAAAGATGACTTGTATGAAAATAGAGGCACTTACAATTTCTGGATCATTAGGCCATTGTATCCTAGAAAAAAGTCGTCTCTCATCCCTGGCTCTAGCTAAAATGTTCCATGTATCAAGATTCTCCCTGGGAAATTAAAATATGAGAATGTGAAATTCAGGGAAAAAAATACTAGTCTACAGAAATGTTGGGAAATCACACTCAACTAATCATATACCTTAAATCTGAGGACACCAGGTCATGAGTAACAACATCATACAGCTCAAATACAGCTTTTGCAGCACCTTTTGCAAGTTCGGGATCATTTCGAATCTGACATAGATAAATCATTTCATATAGGTAAAAACAAAATGTACCAATAACCAATATTATATATATATATATATATATATATATATATATATATATATATAAAGAAACCTTGGAGACACAGAAACCCACAAGCACTATGTCATTTCATCCACCCTGCTCTGGTTCTATGATTTATATCCTCATCAATCTATCTGCCTTTTTGCAGAATGGATCCCACGTATCTAAAAGCATCTTTTTTGGGTACCTCTAGACCAAGTAGATGCACGGGATCTTGGTCTACATCTTTTACCAGAAAAAACTCATACTTCATATACTCAGTCTTGCTTCGGCTTAACGTTAATCCTTTAGACTCCAACGTGCTTCTCCACAAACAACATAATTCACTAAAAGTGTAATCAAAGACTTAGCATCCCACTAAACTTGCTTTTCACAGGTTAGTACAAGCTACAGAATTCTGCCTTCAGCAGCCTAAATTAGGCTTTTGGAATGGTTGGCAAACTCACGACTTACATTTCTAGGTTCCAAAATTGAGCTGACTGGAATACAAACATGGATCTTGATAAACACTGGATGATTTGGACACATTCAGACTCAATTACAAAAATAAGACTTTGATAAAACTTGAGATTAAAGAATAATTGTATATTGAATAATCATAGTGTATTACAATGTACAAGAGCTTTCTATTTAAAGAGACTAAAAGACCTAATATGTTGAGCTCATACGATGTGGGACTACATATATACTGAACTATTTTTACAACTATTCTAACACTTCCCGTCAAGCTGGAGCATATATATTGTAAGCACCCAGCTTGCCACAAATATATTCAACCCGAGGACCCCTAAGAGCTTTAGTGAAGACATCCGCGAGTTGATCATTGGAGTTGACAAATTCCGATTTGATTTCTCCTGACTGAATCTTTTCTCGAATGAAATGACAATCGATATCTATATGTTTGGTTCTCTCATGAAATACAGGATTAGAGGATATATGTAGTGCAGCTTGATTTTCACAAATGAGAGTCATGGGTTTCTTCTGTTCACAAAGATGGAGCTCCCGAATCAACTGCTTTAACCAGATTAGCTCGCAGGTAGCAACTCCCATTGCACGATACTCGGCCTCTGCACTACATCGGGCAACAACAATTTGTTTCTTACTTTACCAAGAAATCAGGTTTCCTCCAAAGAAAACACAATAGCCTGAAGTAGAGCGCCTATCCGAGGGTGATCCTGCCCAATCGGCATCTGAATAACCACAAATTTCTGTATTTCCCTGATCTGAATATAATAAACCTTTCCCTGGTGCTCCTTTAATGTAACGAAGGATCCTAACAGCAGCATCCCAAAGAGAATCACACGGAGAATCAAGAAACTGACTAGCGACACTAACAGCAAAAGAAATGTCCGGCCTAGTCACAGTGAGAGTGAGATAATTGAGCTTCCCAATCAACCTCCGATAACGTCCAGGATCAGATAATGGTTCTCCTTGTCCGGGTAGTAATTTGATAGTAGGATCCATCGGTGTGTCAACTGGCTTACACGCCAACATATCAGTCTCTTCTAGGATATCCAAGGCATACTTCCTTTGACAAATAGAAATGCCCTGTGTAGATTGTGCTACCTCAATTCCCAAGAAGTAACGCAGCTTCCCGAGGTCCTTTGTCTGAAATTGACTGAATAAATACTGTTTTAACTGACGAATTCCAGCTTCATCACTCCCGGTGAGGATGATGTCATCAACATAGACTAACAAATAGATGCAATTATCAGGAGATGTGATCCTATAAAACACAGAGTGGTCAACTTTACTGCGAATTAAGCCAAACTCCTGAACAGCAGAACTGAAGCGACTGAACCATGCCCGAGGAGACTGCTTGAGACCATATAAGGATTTGCGAAGACGACACACCATCCCAGACTCCCCCTGAGCAACAAAACCCGGTGGTTGCTCCATATAACCTTCTTCTTGTAAATCACCACGAAGAAAGGCATTTTTGATGTCAAGTTGAAGGAGTGGCTAGTGACGAATAGCAGCAAGAGTAAGAAATAGGCGAACTGACGCCATCTTAGCGACCAGAGAGAATGTATCGCTATAATCAAGGCCGAATATTTGAGTAAAACCCTTTGCATCAACTAGGCGGACCTTGAGTCGATCAACATGGCCATCAGGTTCAACTTTTACAGTAAACACCCAGCGACAACCAACTGTAGACTTCTCTGGAGGAGTAGAAACAAGGTCCCAAGTACCATTGGAATGAAGTGCAGTCATCTCATCAAGCATCACTTGGCGCCACCCTGGATGGGAAAGTGCTTCACCTGTGGTCTTAGGAATAGAAATAGAAGAAAGACTAGAAACAAAGGTGAAATGAGGTGAAGAAAGACGGTCATAGCTCAAAAAAGTATAAAGAGGACAAGGGTTACGAGTAGTACGTGTACCTTTTCTTTGAGCAATGGGAAGAGCCTCTGGTGAAGGATCCGGAGGGGAAGAAGCAACAGCAGTGGGCGATGAGTCAGTAAGAGTCGAGTCGACAGGAGGCACAGTTTTGCGACGCTGATAGGTGAGAAGTGGACGGTTCTCTGGTATAGAAGCAATAGGTTGCTCATCTGGAATAGAAGCACCTGCAGTTGGCAAAGACAAGTCAAGAAAAGGGACAGGAAGAACATGATCAACCTGTGACAACTGAGATGGGATAGAATTAAAGGGTTGTTGATCAAGAAAAGTGACATCAGCGGAAACTAAGTAACGCTTAAGATCGGGAGAATAACAACGATAACCCTTTTGAAGACGAGAATAACCAAGAAAGATACACTGAAAGGCTTTGGATGTTAACTTATCCTTACCAGGAGTGAGATCATGAACAAAACAAGTACAACCAAAGACATGTGGAGTTAGAGGATAAAGAGGAACATCTGGAAGCAATAGGTTATGAGGAATGTCATTGTTGAGCACAGATGAGGGCATGCGATTGATGAGAAAACAAGAGATGAGTACAGCATCTGCCCAGAAGTGAAGGGGAACCAGCATAGGAAGAAGAAGGGTGCGTGCAGTTTCAATGAGATGTCTGTTTTTACGTTCAGCCACCCCATTTTGTTGTGGAGTGTGAGGACAAGTAGTTTGATGTAAAGTACCTTGTGTGGCCAAAGAAATTAGAAAAATCAATAGAAACATATTCCTTAGCATTATCACTACGTAGAATACGAACAGAAACACCAAATTGAGTATGAATCTCAGTATAAAACTTTTTATAAATGAAAAATAACTCAGAACGATTTTTCATTAAATAGACCCAAGTGCAACGGGAAAAATAATCAATAAAGGTAACAAAATACCGAAAACCTAAAACAGACAAGGTACGACTTGGACCCCAGATATCTGAATGAACAAGAGAGAAAGGGGCATCAGCTCATTTATTGACTCGACTGGCAAAAGAGGAACGTGTATGCTTCCCTTGTTGACATGACACACAATCTAAAGACTGAAGACCGGACAAAAGAGGAACCATTTTCTGCAACTTTAAAAGACTTGGATGACCGAGGCGACTGTGGATAAGTTGTGGGGATTCTGTGAGAGAGAGTGTCACTGAAGGACGAGGCACATCCAGATAGTAAAGCCCCCGTGACTCACGACCCACTCCAATCATTTTCCCCGTACCCGGATCCTACACAGAAACAGAATGGTTAGAGAAAGTAATGGTGCAAGTGAGGGAATGGATCAACTTACTAATAGAAATTAAGTTATAAGAGATGCCAGGAATGTAATAAACAGATGTCAAGGCTAAGGTAGAGGTCGGACGAGCTTGTCCAATCCCACGAACTGGGGCTTTGGTTCCATCCGCAAGGGTAAAAGAAGGGAAATGATCAGAATAAGTAAGAGATGTAAAGAGTTCCGTATTACCATAGAGATGATCGGTAGCACCTGAGTCAAATATCCAAGTGTCAAGTGATGTAGAATAAGAAACACAAGCAACGGGATTACCAGTATATGGTTGAGACTGAGGAGAAGCCTTCTTGAGAAGAGTTTGGAGTGCAGCATAGTCCGCAAGTGAGAGAGAAACTGAACCAAATGATGCATTGTCTGACTGAGCTATATTCGCAGCAAGAGAGATAGAATCCTTTAGTTTGGAAGATGTAATAGGCCCAATATTAGTAGAGATGATTCCTGAGGAAGTTTTGACAGGAGGACAAGGAGAGTTAACCTCCGAGAGATGAGGGGACGCTGCTGCCATTTAAAGAGAGAATATAAAAGCCGTAAACGAAGGGAAACAATATCCAATCAAGGAGAACCACACGTCTAAAGTGAGACCCACAAAGAACCAAGCACAGATCCGGAAAGAGGAGAAGAAGAAGAGAAGTTCTGTCCAAGAACGGCCGGAAAACTCCACCGGAACAGTGCACACGCGCCGGTTGAAGGTGGCGCGTGAGCACCACGCGCAGAGGAGAAGAACGGCGCGTGGAGGCGCGTGGCTGACGCGACGGTGGTCGGACTACCACAGAACTGGTCACCGGGATGAGACGGTCCTGATCACAGGTAGTCTGGGCTAAAAACTCGCCAGAACAGTGCTCCGGTGGCCTGAACAATGACGAGCGGCGGTTGTTGGCGGCGGGAAGTGGTTCTGACAGTTGAAGAAACAAGCCGGAGAGACACACGGCTTAGAGAAAAAACTCGCCGGAAGAATGCACGGCAAAGTAGAAGAGAACACCTAAGCAGTGGGCTTAGGGTTTTAGCGGAAGCGGATCCCCAGAGCTAAAAAAAGCTCTGATACCAACTTGAGATTAAAGAATAATTGTATATTGAATAATCATAGTGTATTACAATGTACAAGAGCTCTCTATTTAAAGAGACTAAAAGGCCTAATAGGTTGAGCTTATACGATATGGGACTATATATATACTGAACTATTTTTACAACTATTCTAACGATAAACACTGGTTGACTTGGTCAAATTCATTATGCTCGCCAGACCATGTGTCTCCTCTTCTGGTAAAGGTCACACATCCAGCCGCTGTTCATCCTGTCGCTACTGTTGTTGAAATACTCTCAGTCTCCTATACTCAAATCTGCCCTCAACTTGTTCGCTTGACATCATCCAACAAGTCCTCCTTAAAAAGCAAGCCCAAAACACCACAAACCCTAAACAACAAGACCTAATCTGACACTTTCTGAACCATACCCACTACCATTATGTCCGTTAGAAAAATCTAATAGAAAACCATTAAAGTTGCCTTCACATAACAACACTAAAACTTTTAGGAGAGACGTTTGTTTAATACTACCAAACAGGGCAGCCTTTCAGTTACAAGGTTGCTTCCAATTTAGCTGGTCTTTATTTTCATACACTAAGTTCCAGTCCTTAACAGAGGGAAAAGAAGAATAAGAAATCCTCCTTAAAAAGGAGAAATGATATCCAATCCCTCAACAATCAACAAATATGTATATACTCCAAGAACCATTAAGAATCAGATTCAAACAATTTATATACTCCAAGAAAACATAGCCTCCCATTCCTCTATTAACTAGCTTAACAATTTGAAGAAATATTAGAGGAAATATGAGAACCTTAGAAAAAAAAAATATAATATGACACAAAAATTGTCAACCAGAGAATTACCAGGAGTCCAGTCAATGCCGTAAGTCTTGATAAAACAAGCGGAAGCTTCTTAAGAGACAAGGTTAGAACAAGTGAACCCTCTTCTATACTATTATTGATCTCACGAAAAATTCTTTCCACCCTGTCAAAGATAATATTTTCAATCTTTCATCAAGCATATGTCTGTAAATCAAACAACATAATGCACTAACTGATGAAGAGAGCAGGAAACTTTAAATTAACATTCAGAAAAAAAAAAAAATCAGAACAGAATTACAAATTTTGATGATAGAAACTCATCTTCTATCCCAGTTAAAGGTAATCTAACATAGTCTGAGATCAGGTAGTTAAATTCTATCACTAAGATAAAGCACTAATCCAGAGTCCAAGTTTAGGCATCCTGGTAACTTCATGTTCTTCATCAAAATTGTAAATTTAACCCATGAGAAATTTTTGTCAAAATATCTTCGAAAATTTCATGGCTGTCTTGATACACTCTTGGTCAATTTATCTCAGGTATGAAGTTGATTAAGTAGTTCAATCTTTTGAAAGTTCAAGCACCAAGTAGAATGCTAGTAAAAAAAAATTAACTAAAAAGAAAAGAAAATTCATTATGCAAAGAAGGAATTACAATAAATTTGGAGGATAAGGAATCCTCGAAAAACAAAGAGTAAACCACAAAATAACAGAGAAAAAAGTAAAACAATAATGGAGCAAATCTGTTCAATCCCTCAAAATATCTATTATTAGGAAACCACCTAAAAGAATGTTAGTCATAATTATAGTGTCATTTCAAAGTTTGTAATGTTTTTGTTAGAATGAATATACAAAGGTTTTAGGTGTTTTTGACGTTTTCGGTGACTTCTTTAGGTGTTATTTTGGTGTTTCAAGCCCTCTCTCTAGATTTTGTCTCAGTTTGTTGTGGGTCCAAACCATTTGGAATATTCCGGCGAACCACCATCGTTTGGCACCTTTTGCGGCTGTTTCTTGCTCCCCTTTGGTGTTTTTCAGACTTAAGAAATTTTCCGGTGTACTTTCTCTCATCTTGAAAGTCCCAATAGGGGACCATAATTTTGTCATACGCGGTAGTAACCACAGTTGTGGTGGCAACAAACTTTGATGCTCTCTATCGCGAATTGGGACATTTGGAGCAAGCTATTGGGCAAAATATGGCAATCCTATCTTTTTTGATCTGACTCATAAAGAGCAAGCACCATATGCCCTTATTGTCACTATATCGTGTGTAGACTATGAATCCCTTCTTCGGCTTAAGGCCTCCTCGCGAACCAATAATCGTATTGCTTGCATTTCATAACCATCAATTGGATGGTGGTTAATTGACTCTAGTGCTTCCAATTATCTCCAAGGTAAGGATCTCCTCACACCTCTAACATATTCACACAATTTACCACCAATTACCATGCTGATGATTCCAAAATAGTTGTCACAACATTGGATAAGCACAATCGTGTTCCTCTTGACCGTTAACCTCATTCTTTGTTGTTTCCCCATCAACCCTTGCATTCTTTGGCCCCCACGTGTGTTTGGTCTGCTTGTTTGTCCATAACCGTAGTTCTGGCCATAATAAATTGGTTGCTCAGTCCCACAAGTGTCTTTCTTGGTTACACTCAGTCCCAGAAGAGTTACAGATGTTACTCCCCAACTCTTCACATCTCGGCTAATGTTACTTTCTTTGAGTCAAATCCCTACTTTGGATATTCTTCACTCAACCCTGAGTTAGTATCTACTACCTTACAACTTCCTCGATCTCGGTTGAATTCACACCACCACCACCACAGCTTCCTCCTACACAGGATGACCCAGTTTATATCTACCCCTTACAAGTCCACCGCCACCGCCTCCAGCTCCAACCATTCCTACTGAAAGTGCCCTACCCATGCTCTCTGCAAAGGTATTCGTACTACTCGTAATCCTTCACCCCATTATGTTACTTTGAGTTATCATCGGCTTTCACGTTTGCATTTTGCTTGTCTTTCTTCCTTGTCTTCTGTGACTGTTCCCAAGATTATAGGTGTGGCATTATCTCATTCAGGACGGAGACAAGCTATGATTAATGAAAGGTGTGCCCTTCAGAGCAGTGGTATATGGGATTTGGTTCTCGTTCCCTCTAGGAAATATGTTGATGGTAACAGATATACACTGTCAAAGTTGGTCCTGGTGGTTAGGTGGACTATCTCAAGGCTCAGTTGGTGGCCAAGAGATACACTCAAGTGTTTGGACTAGATTATGGAAACATATTCCCCCCAGTGGCAAAAATGACCTCTGTTCGCCTCTTTTTTTAATATGGTTGCTATCCGTCACTGGCCTCTTTATCAGTTGGATGTCAAGAATGCTTTCTTCCATGGTGATCAGTAGGAAGAAGTTTATATGGACCAACCTCGAGGTTTGTTGCTCAGGGGGAGTCTAGCCTAGTTTGTCGTCTCCTCAAGTCCCTTATGGTTTCAAGCAATCTCCATGAGCTTGATTTGAAAGATTTAGCACTATTGTACAATAGTTTGACATGACTCAGAGTGAGGCTTATCACTTAGTATTTTATCGCCACTATTTCAGGATCCATTTATTTGAAGGTGTATGTTGATGACATTGTCATTACGAGTGATGATTATCATGACATTTCTCAGGTAAAACAAAATCCCTGCCATCATTTTCCGACAAAAGACTTTGGAAGACTACGGTATTTCTTAGGGATAGAGGTGGCCCAATCTAAAGATGGTATTGTGATATATATACCAAAGGAAATATGCTATGGACATTCTTGAGGAGACAATTATGTTAAACGCTAAGTCAATTGACACTCTTACGGAGCCAAATGTCAAGCTTTTACCAAATCAGGGGGTCATTCTCAGATCCATAAAAGTATAGAAGATTAGTTGGGAAGCTAAATTACCTCATAGTCACTCAACCAAACATCTCATTTGATGTTAGTGTGTTAAGTCAGAGTTATCCTTAGGAAGATCATTGAAATTCAGTGATTCGTATTCCCAAGTATATCAAGACAACTGCTGGAAAAGGTCTCTTCTATGGAGACAATGGTCATATCCGGGCTATGGGATACACGGGAATTGATTGAGTAGGTTGACCCAGTGAAAGGAGATACATCTCTGGGTATTGTGTATTCGTTGGAGATAATTTAGTATCTTGGAAAAGCAAGAAACGTGTAGTTGCCAGATTGAATGCTGGAAGAGAGTATCGATACAAGGCTACAACCACTTATGAACTCATCTGGCTAAAACAATTGCTTAAGTTTGGAGACACTAGACCAGCAACTCTCATTTGTGATAATCAAGTTGTTTTACATATTGCTTCCATTCCAATGTCTAATGAAAGGACTAAGCATATTGAGATAAATTCTCATTTCGTTAGAGAAAAGGTCTGCTCGAGAGATATCGTCACCAATTTTATTAACTCAAATGATCAACTAACTAATGTGTTCACTAAGTCTTCGAGAGAGCCTCGAATAGATTACATATGTAACAAGCTTGATGCATATGATCTTGTAAAGAACCTTGGAATACATGCAACTAATGTGGAGTTTATATATCTCAACACGCCCCCTCACACGAGAGCCCATTGGGCTTGAAGAGTGGACAATGCAACAGGCCCAGCCTACCTGTGCTAAGAAACGCCACAAGAGAAAGTGGGGGGCGGCGAGGCTCTGATACCATGTAAAGAACCTTGGAATACACCACCCCAAAAGCTAGCTCAAAGGGTGGGAGAAGGCCTTATAAACTCCACATTAGTTGCACATACAACCAATGTGGGACTATATATCTCAATAGATCTATATGCTCCATCTTGAGAGGAAGTGTTATAAATGTAGTAGCATAAAGCAGTTTAGTGTGAGGGATGAAGTCCCATATCATGCTTATCTCTTTGTAGTTCTTTTTCGTTCAGTTATATAATAGAGTCTCTGCATTGTAGTTGAAACACATGGATTTCAGTATATGCCTCTCGGGTCCTGATATTTAACACTAGCAAAGGACTTTTACATTAAAATAAGAAGCATGTAGAGATTTGCAGTTACACTAATGCTCTGGATAGACGTTCTACTTCAGGTTATTTTGTCATTTGTAGATGTAACTTAATTTTATTGAAAAGGAAAAAAAAAGACAATGATGTCTAGATCAAGAGCAGAAGATGGGTATTGTGCAATTCGAACTGCTACTTGTGAGCTTATCTGATCAAGGAATTGAATATCTATGAGTTCCAAGAACCAAGAACACTGAGATTGATTTCCATTTTGTCCGAGATTTTCACCAAGGCTCTTAGTGCTCCTCAAGTCACTTATATTTGTGACAAACTTGGTTCCCAATCCAAACACACAGTTAATAAGCTTGATAATGAGAATTTGAGAATTCAAGTTTGCAGTCTGTAAATAATCTTGGGATATACCACCCCAAAAGCTAGCTCAAAGGGTGAGAGTGTCCAAGGCCTTATAAACTCCACATTAGTTACACATACAACCAATGTGGGACTATATATCTCAACACGCCCCCTCACACGAGAGCCTATTGGGTTTGAAGAGTGGACAATGCAACAGGCCGAGCCTACCTGTGCTAAGAAATTCCACAAGAGAAAGTGAGGGGCAGCGAGGCTCTGATACCATGTAAAGAACCTTGGGATACACCACCTCAAAAGCTAGCTCAAAGGGTGAGAGTGTCCAAAGCCTTATAAACTCCACATTAGTTGCACATACAACCAATGTGGGAATATATATCTCAACACAGTCAGTGTGCATATTTGTTTCCCATCAGTCCTTTTCCCTACTGCCTATTCAAAAAATACTTATCAAGAGGAGACCATTCTCAATTGCATGAACTGCCTCTAAACTCCTCTCTCTCCCTTACAACCATACAAAACTTCCACGATATAACTTTCTATGGCCTTTAGCTTCAAAATATCTACACAAATATTCCAATTGGGACAAAGTCTCCCATTTAACTATCAAAATTTTAAAAACTCCGGACAGATACTGTAGAGCACGTGTCATTTTCTTTTTAGACAAATTCCTTGGATTTTTTACCATATCCAACTCAAAAATGCAATACCAAAGTCAATATGATAGAGCAGTAAAACAAAGACAATATGATAGAGCAGAAGAATTCATACCAAAGTCTTCCTTCGTTATCAACTAACGAATACAAAATTTTTTCAATACTGTAATAGCACTCTTGAACTGCATATTTCATATATTCGTCCCTACATATCCTGCTCCACAGATCTGCCTGTGTATCTTGGCAGTCCAAAGCCAAATCAACCGCCAACAGGATCTGAATAAAAATATATTAACTCAGATAACGGATGAAATTCCAGCAAACTATCAAAGTATCTTCAAAAATCCATTCCAAGTAATTCATATTGCATAATAAGTTCCACCTTACTGCTTAGAAGAAACAAAGGCCATTGCACTAATCTCAGACTTCCTGCATTGCTAGGAATAAAAAGTAGGTCCATTTCCCTGTAACAGTTAAAAAAATATATTAATAATCAACCTACAAAACCCTAACACTGGCTAGAGAAGACTTTTAAACCCGAAATGACAAAAAAAATATGCTGTTATTACATTTTTCACAGAGGAAAAAAAGGTACAGTAATAGGACAATGAAATATCGTCCAAAAGAAAGTTAAAAAAAGGCAAAGAGCAGAGAGGTCAAAATACGCAAAGCTTTATACAAAAATCAGCAAAGCTATCCAGTCCCTCTGCATAAGCTATTGCTAAATATTGTAAAGTATTAAGTTTCTATGACTCCTCATTCCTCAACAACAGAGGAAAAGAAACAAAGAACTAAAGAGATTAAAAATGCAAAGCAGTCCAAATTCAGCGCAAAAGTTTTTATTACACATTGTCCGGCAGTAAGTTTCCTTTCACTGACCTATTGCTAATAAAATCTTCCTCACGCAGGCTTTTAATTATCTCATTCCAAAATGGAGCAAACATGGCAGCATATGCTTTGTTCGTATCCTGAGAATCCTGCACCAAACCAACCACATTCATTTACCCAAACAGCAAGCAAGGTAGAACATATAATTAACAATATAATAAGAAAAATATGATAATGCCACCAGAAAAACCCAATACTCCAAGCTACCATAATAACCAAGCCATTTTCTTATCAAGAGATGGATGGAAGGCTTTCAAAAAATCAGTTATGATTTCCAAAGCGAAAAAGTAAACCTCCTATCCTACGCAAACTTTTACCAGAGGCTACAAAGTAAGTTTAAATTAACAAATTTTTCAACAACCAAAAAGAATCCTATTATTCTCTATGTTGATCACCTTGTTCAACAACAACAACAAAATGAAAAAAAAAATAAAAAAAACAGTTCACAACGTAGAATTGCACAGACCTATTGCAACTAAACTAGCTAGTAATAAGAACCATACAAATTTTAAATTGCACTAACAAACTGTTCTCCCATAAAAAAAAAACAAAAAAACAAAATTTACCTGAGTTGATTGTCCAGGGAAGGTCATCCTAAACAAAGCATGAAACAAAAACAAATTTATCATAAAAAACGATGAAGAAAAACGTGTAAAAATAATATGCCAACTAAATCAAACAATAACACAATACATTATAATATGGTCACAAGCATATATCAAAAGAAAATTCAGATAAATCATTCTCCATTAAACCTTGACAAGTAAGACTAAGGATGAAGGCAATCATTGTACGCAATCTTATCCTTGCATATTTACAAAGAGATTGTTTCCTAGAATCGAACCCGTGAAATAGCCTCTTTGTAAAAATGTCAGGGTAAAACTATGTAAAAGGATTGCTCTTACCCCTTGTAATTTATTATTTTTTTTACGAAAACAAAATTCAGATAATAAAAAAAATTATCAGAGAAGAAAACAAAGAACACAAGCAAAGAATAAGATGTCCTCCTTATGAGAAACAGCTATAGTGATTAATATGTCATTGGAAATTAAGGCAGTTAATATATCATTGGGAAGATTAGAGTCACAGGAAATAGTTTAAATTTTTATAACTGTTATTGTAAATGTGAAATGTATTTATTCTTTTACGTAAATAAATATCTGATAGAGTAACTGACTTCTTGTATCAGTATTATAATACATGTTTAGCTCTCTGTTAGTAACTAACTTCAGGTAGTTAAGCCATAGTTAGTTAGTGGTAGTTAGGATTGCCTCCAAGAATAAATACATGTACAATAAAAGAATCAAGAGCAAAACATCAGTTGCAAATTCTCTCATCTCTCTCCGTTTCCACCACTTTCTCTCCGATTATTGAATTCTAACAAAATCAAGGCTGTTTAATTGCTCTCACTCAACCAAATCAAAGGACTTCTTTCTTAAGTCTCCTAAAAGAAACCAGAAAAATAACATCAAATAAGAAAACTTTCAGATCTCCCCATAAATCAGACCACCACAAAGAAGCTAAGCAGACCAATTTGTCCATCACACAAAGGGCTTAAAAATCCGGCAACCAAATAAGAAGATACATGACAAACCACCAAAGAACCTCGCATCTCTACAGAGCTCTAATATGACGAAAGAAAATTCTTTGGACAAATCTTGCATTCACCAAAAATAGAAAAATACCAAAAAAGCCTTTACTAGAAATATCTAGAACCTGGACAAATGAAAAAGAAATTTCATATTCATTCCCCACCAACTTACATTAACTTGAACAAAGTACTCTGATATATTATAGAATTGTAAATAATCTGTACAAAGGGTTCTCTATTTATAGAGAATACTTGACCTAATTTTGACCTAATGGGCTTGGCCCAATACAACAAATAAATGACTAAATAATAACTAAATAATTATTATTTACAACACTCCCCCTCAAGCTGAGTAATAGATATTTATCATTCTCAGCTTGCTAGTAAGCTCTTGAAATCTGTCTGAAGAAAGTCCCTTTGTCAATACATCAGCTAATTGACGCCCAGTGGGAATGTATAGAGTGGTAATCAACCCGCTATCAAGTTTCTCTTTGATGAAATGGCGGTCGACCTCAATATGTTTAGTCCGATCATGTTGAACTGGATTATGAGATATACAAATAGCGGACTTATTATCACATAGGAGCTTCATAAGTCCCTCACATTTTATTTTGAGGTCATCAAGTACAATTTTTAGCCACAGTAACTCACAAATGCCTTGAGCCATAGCTCGAAATTCAGCTTCTACACTTGATCTGGCAACCACATCTTGTTTCTTAATTCTCCATGTCACCAAGTTACCACAAAGAAACATACAATAACCAGTGGTAGAACGACGGTCAGTCACAGATCCAGCATAATCAGCATCAGTGTAGACTTCTAAAGAGAGATGGCCATCACACCGGAATAATAATCCTTTACCAGGAGTAGCTTTAAGATACTGAAGAATTCTCTCCACTGCCTGCATGTGTTTCTCCTTTGGATTGTGCATAAACTGACTGACAACACTAACAGCATAAGCTAGGTCTGGTCTAGTATGAGCCAGATATATCAATTTCCCAACTAGCCGTTGATATTGTCCTTTATCAACTGGAGGACTCTCCTCTTCATAGCCTATCCTGTGATTCTGCTCAATAGGAGTATTAGAGGGTTTACACCCGAGCTTTCCTGCTTCTTTGAGAAGATCAAGAACATATTTCCTCTAACTGATAAAAATTCCTTTTTTTGAATGAGCTACTTCTATCCCTAGGAAATATCTCAGTTTCCCAAGGTCTTTAATTTCAAACTCAGATGCTAGTCTTGTTTGCAGAATATGTCTCTCCACAAAATCATCACCTGTGATAATAATATCATCAACATATACAAGGAGACAGTGAGCTTCCCATCTTGGGAGTGCTTAAAGAAAAGAGTGTGATCTCCTTGAATTTGTTTGTATCCTAAAGTCATCATAACCTTAGTAAATCTTCCAAACCAGGAACGAGGTGACTGCTTCAATCCATACAAGGCCTTTTTTAATCTACAAACTTTATTTTCTCCATTCACAGAATCAAAACCAGGAGGGATTTCCATGTAGACTTCTTCTTCTAACTCACCATTAAGGAAAGCATTCTTCACATCAAATTGATTTATATCCCAATTGTAATGAGCAGCAAGGGATAACAAAACTCTCACCGTATTCATCTTTGCAACTGGAGCAAAGGTTTCTTCATAATCAATGCCATAGGTCTGAGTGTAACCCTTGGCGACTAATCGAGCCTTATATCTCTCAAGAGTGCTATCAGAATTATACTTTAGGGCATAAACCCATCTGCACCCTACTGCTTTCTTTCCATTGGGTCTATCAATAACCTCCCATGTTTTATTTTTCTCCAATGCATTCATTTCCTCTTGCATGGCTTGAGCCCAATTCTCATCTTTCAATGCTTCATATACTATTTTGGGATTGAAATAGAATCTAGTGCTGAAACAAAGTTTTTGTGCTGCACAGAAAGATTAGTAGAAGAAACAAAATGGGAGATAGGATATTGAGTACAAGATCTTTTCCCTTTTCTAAGGGCAATAGGTAAGTGTAAAGAACCTTGGGATACACCACCCCAAAAGCTAGCTCTAAGGGTGGGAGGGTCCAAGACCTTAGAAACTCCACATTAGTTGCACATACAACCAATGTGAGACTATATATCTCAACACGCCCCCTCACACGAGAGCCCATTGGGCTTGAAGAGTGGACAATGCAACAGGCTCAGCCTAACTGTGCTAAGAAACGCCACAAGAGAAAGTGGGAGGCGGCGAGGCTCTGATACCATGTTAAGAACCTTGGGATACACCACCCCAAAAGCTAGCTCAAAGGGTAGGAGTGCCCAAGGTCTTATAAACTCCCACATTAGTTGCTCTTCAACTAATGTGGGACTATATATCTCAACACGCCCCCTCACGCAAGAGCCCTTTTGCCTTGAAGCGTGGATTATGCAACAGACTCAATCTTTGGTTTACCTTTTTGTGCTTCCACTTTAAAGTGAGGGGCGGTAAGGATCGAACCTCAAGCTTTGATACCATGTTAAGAACCTTGGGATATCCTCAAGCGTGGATTATCAGAAGCAGAAGCAATGGGTAAGTCATCAGAGGTATCAGAAGAAATAGGCAAATCATGAGAGGCAATAAAATTAGAATCAGAAACAGGAAATTCAGGACTTACCAGTGGTTCAGACGATTGGGGTTGGTGGTGAGACAGTATGGGTTGTTTCCTCCTCTGATATACCAATTCAGGTGTCAAAATCTTTCGTATCTCAGGTGTATTTGAAGGTTCTGACACACCAGGAGCAGACACACTAGGAAGAGGTGTAGGAGTAGACAAGGACGATCCAGACTCAAAGAAGGAAGGGGATGAGTCTTCTGAAGAACTGTTCTCCCCCTGAAGATGAACACCCAGGAAATAAGATTCAGATTCTTAAAAGGTGACATCCATAGAAACAAAAAAATTTCGACTTGGTGGATGATAACACTTGTACCCTTTTTTATAAGGGGTATAACCAAGAAAAACACACTTAAGAGCCCTAGGATCCAACTTACTCCGATGTTGTTTATGATCATGGACAAAGGCAACACAGCCAAACACTCTTGGTGGAAGGCTCTGCAATATGGGAACAGAAGGAAAGAAGGAAATCATGGAATGAATAGGACTGATATTGTTAAGGACCCGTGAAGATAAACGGTTGATCAAAAAGGTTGCAGCTAACACGGCTTCTCCCCAATAAGAACTAGGAACAGATGTCTGGAAAAGTAGTGCTCTAGCAACTTCAAGGAGGTGACGATTTTTCCTTTCAGCAACCCCGTTTTGTTGAGGGGTATCAACACATGTGAGCTCATGAATCATACCTCTATCTGAAATGAATTTTGACAGGCGTTGGTTGACGTACTCAGTACCATTATCAGATCTTAGTCTTTTAATACACTTACCAAACTGAGTCTCAACCATGTGATGAAACCGAATAAATATCTCTGGTACTTCAGACTTGTCTTTCATCAAGTATATCCATGTTACCCGAGTACAATCGTCAATAAAAGAAACAAACCACCTTGCACCTGAAACACTATGCACTTTAGAAGGGCCCCAAACATCAGAATGGATAAGAGAAAAAAGTTTGCTGCTTTTAATAGTGCTAGAAGGAAATGACACTCTATGGTGTTTTGCAAATTCACAAACATCACAATGAAATGTCTCAACCGACTGATTGAGAAACAGAGAAGGGAACATAGACTTCAATAGACTAAATGGTGGATGTCCCAGACGCTTGTGATGGAGCCAAATCATAGACTCTGCAGTAGAAGGATGACGTGTCATTAATAACTGATTTTTGCTATCATTTATAGCATGTTTTGGAAAGAGATTATACAACCCATTCTGTTCATTAGCAACTCCAATTGTCTTCTTCGTGGTAAGATCTTGAATAACACAATGAGAAGGAAAAAATGTGATAGAACAATTCAAATCAGTTGTAAGTTTTTGAGTGGAGATAAGATTAGTAGAAAGCTGAGGAACATAAAGAACATTCTTAAGAAACAAGGAAGGTTGAATTTGAATGTTACCAGAACCAATAACTGATTTATGGAATCCATCAGCTACGGATATAGTATGACTTCCAACAGTAGGATGATAAGAACAAAACAACTCAGTACGACAAGTCATATGATCAGTTGCACCAGAATCCAAAATCCATGAGGTTTTAAAATCAGTGCAAGAAGCAAGAAGAGATGTAGAACATGTGTTCTTATCAGATAAGATCAAAGAACGGCCATATGGCTTACACATATTATCAATAGCAGGTTTAAGCAGGAAAAGTTTTTTTTTTTTTTTGTGAACAGTGCGAGATGAACAGTACCTCGTTTTTTTTTTTTTTTTTTTTTGAGCTGTTCCGGTCGTCTGATGAAAAAGAAACCTCTGTAGAATGATAGATCTAAGAAAACAGAGTGAAACAGGGGCCCTCACGGTCCAAAAGGTCCCTAAATTTTTTTTTTTTCCGGTGGCGGCTTTGCGGCAGCGAAAGGCAAATAGGGTTGGTTTTTAAAGATGGTGATTTGCGGAAGCAGAACCCTCAGAATCGATAACTCTGATACCAACTTGAAAAAGGTATTCTGATATATTATAAAATTGTAAATAATCTGTACAAAGGGTTCTCTATTTATAGAGAATACTTGACCTAATGGGCTTGGCCCAATACAACAAATAAATGACTAAATAATAACTAAATAATTATTATTTACAACACATTATGTCTCACCTGATCTATGTGATCACCAACTCAATTACAATATAAATTATGAATAGAAAAGTAAGATAAATGTAGCTTGCCACATAGGAATATATATTAGTTAAAACAGCTACACCTTAGATAACCAACCTTTGTGTTTGTGGGGAGACCAAATTTTTTACAAATGCACCTGGGAAACTCTCAAAACGTTTATGCACCATTTCAATTGAACGTATCTGCAAGAAATCATTAATAAGAAACAATTTACAAGCAAGATGAGACAACCCAAGAAAAAAACAGACCTGCATATTAATAGTAACTGCAGTTTCATTAAGAAATTATGGACTATCCTTATGTTGGAAGTATTGAAAATAAGTTGATAAAAAGTGCCACGTCATTATATTAGTCTTATGTATTTGTTATAGTCACTCTATATAATAGAGATTCCTCTGTGTTATTGAAACATACAAAATTAAACATCGCCTCTCATTTGTCGACGAGACAAATCCATTCTTCCAAGATCTAGAAGGCTTCTGAGGCACAGTCGTGAAGGCTTAAAGCTTACTCCTTTGGGCCCACTGTTCAGATCTGGTTTTTTGGATTTTGTGCACTTTGTTTTTGGGCATTTCCGGCATCCCAGCACCGTTTCTAGCAAGTTCTCCTTCATTCGTTGTTTGCTTGCGTGTAATAACCATTTTTTTTTTGTATCATCCTATGTGGGTGCAAATATACCTTGTGTGTATGCAAATATATGCTAGAGGTGTACTTGAATTTTCTTAGTGTTTAGAAATAGAAAAAGGAGCAAAATACCCTTGCCCCAGTCATGTTCATCCTTTTTATGAAGGGGAAAATCTTTCATTTTACCCCCATATCACAAAGCTATAACCACTAGAAATAGAAAAGGGAGCAAATACCCTTGCCCCACTTTTGGGTGAGGCTACATTAATGGTTTTATATATCTCAACACGCCCCCTCATGAGAACCCACTGGGCTTGAAGGGTGGACAATGCACAAGCCCACTTACCTGTGCGAAGAAAGAAATTCCACTAGAAAGAAAGTGGAGGCAACGAGGATCGAACCCGAACATGAGGCTCTGATACCATATAAAGAACCAATTCAACCCAAAAGCTTAAGCTATTGGGTGAGGCTACATTAATGATTTTATATATCTCAACACTGCCAGAACCTAGAAACTTGCCTTATTTTTCAAGAAATCGATGGATATGATCTCTTTATGTGTGCAGCAGCTAACTTCCATCAGAATTATGACTATTCATGTCATATAAATCTAAGTTGGAAATGTGAAGAGAATGCAAAGTAGAATTGTGTGCTTGTGCCAGTGTCTGGAAGAGTGGGGACATTTCTTGGATGACAATTGTAGGGAACGCACTACGGTGATAAAGCTCATCACATAGAGTAAACTAGGCATGCAAAATAGGGAGCTTGTTTGATTGTTGTGTAATGGTGGCTTCATCCATGCATACATGTAATTGTCTCAATTGTGGATAATATTGTAATTTACTCTTGCATTGCTCTCTGTTTTATCCAAACAAAATGCAGAATCTTTATAGAAAAGCTTAAGCTAGTGGAAAAGGGCCTTTTAAATAGTTTATATTATACTCTAACATGCTCCATCACAAGAGAGCCTATTGGGCTTGAAAGGTGGATGATGCATCAGGCCCAGCCTATCTGTAAAGTTACATTAATGGTTTTATATTTCTCTAACATGCCCCCTCACGTGAGCCCACTAGGCTTGAAGGGTAGACAATGCACAGGCTCACCTAACAGGGCTAAGAAAGAAATTCCACTAGAAAGAAAGTAGGAGGCGATGAGAATCGAACCCGTGACCTTATGATCACTGAAACTCAAATAACATGTAAAGAACCATTTCAACCCAAAAGCATAAGTTGTTAGGTGAGGCTACATTAATGATTTATATTATTCTCTAACACGTCCCCTTACACGAGAAGGATGGACAATGCACAGGCTCACCTACCTATGCTAAGAAACTCCACAAGACTTAATTAATTATTAATTAAATGGGGGCAGTGAAGATCGAATCTGTGACACCAAGGCTCTGATACCATGTAAAGAACCATTTCAACTCAAAAGTTTAAGTTGTTAGGTGAGGCTACATTAATGGTTTATATTATTCTACATTGTTCAATTCTCCTCTCATCAGATTTGGCCATTCGTGTCTATGTTAGTCTCTTTTCCAATGCAAATACAGCATTAAGCGGGAGAAATTTGCACTCTAGTCCCGTCAGTTTGCGTCCCAAATGCTACCTGGCCTTATCACAAGTTTGTCCCAACTACATATTGGCCGCATCGGACTTTTTCCTAGACGTGCTTTTGTTGGGTCTCCTAAGTTTTCTTGTGGTTAAAGCTTCCAAATGGTATTCTTGATGAACTAAGAGAAGTTTTAGTTTTGTTGTATATACTTGCTAGAAAGAACCTTTCAACTGATGGTAATTCCAGCAATGTCTCTTCTTCTCAGATTATGCAATATTTCAACCAGCTCTTCAATCTGATGGTCATCTCAACCACATTGTTAAGTTGTCTTTCCAGTATCTTCGGCCCTCAAACATCTTTAGAATCCCTCAGTTGACCTTAGGAACCATATTTTGTGTGTCCAAGTATATTATTTGGCTAATTTTTCATTTATAACAAGCTTAATGATTTTGTGATAACCCAAGAAAAATAATAATAACAATAATAATAAAAATAATAATAATGTGTACCCTTATGTGTATAATTATATCATACTAGATATGTTTAGTTTAGCATAAAGTGGTGTTATAAACATTGATATATTTGGTTGACATTGATGTTAGTGGTATTGGTTATCATTTAATTGGTAATATGAACAGTTATTTCCATTTAAATATGACTGTTACAATATATTAAGAATAATTAACGTAATTATGATGACCATTGATATTACCTGCAGTTTCAATGATTGAAATAAGTATGATGAATTTTGATATACCATAATTAATATCTCAGTTACAAAACTTCAGCTATAAATAGGGGCTTAACCTAACCAAACCAAATCACTTTCAATCCTTAACATTTCTCCATCTTCTCCTCTTTCTTCTTATTTCAAATTTTTATTTTATTATTTTTCTAGCTACCGAATGTACTCCACTTCTCTAATCGCTTTTCCTCCTAGAAGTCATCAAACACGGAGACCAGGTAATCCTGATCCTTAGGGCATCTTAAATTAGTTTTAGATGAAATTTGGTATACGTAATCCTCTAAGTGATCGTAGGATAATTTTATATTAAATTTGTTAAATGTAACTTTAATCCGTGGGGAATTTTAGGATGTTTTCATATATTATATGTAACACTTAGGGTATTTAAATTAAATTATTTTAACCTCTAGAAATTAATTGAATTAATTATTGGACTTTGGCTTTACTCTAATAGATGTGAATATTTGAATAATGATATGATGATTTGATTACTCTGGTAGATGTTGAATATGAAAATTATGATATTCTTGGATAATGGATTTGACAATTATGATGGATTAGGAAATTATAATATTCTTGAAAAATTGAATTTGGAAATTATGCTTTTGATTAAATTGATGTTGAAATTATGAAAACAATTTGAGGAAATTTTCCAATTATAAGAATTGTGACAAGATTGAATTTTATTGATTGTGTGTGATTGTAATAAAAAAAGTGGGAAGATAGCTTTTGGAGTGTACCTCCTGAAAGTGATGAACACAACCTTTGGGCTTTATGCCTTCGATATTACATGATGTGACAATGATGTTTTCCGTTCTTCCCAAAGTGGTATCTAGCAACAGGGTTTCTCGACGTACTAGTAGTAACTTTGGGAAGAGGTGTACACACTAGGACTTGATATTTTGAAATGGCCAATTTTGATTATACGTGGCTAGCAACGAGGTTTCCCAAGTCATGGGGTAGACTGGCAACAGGGTTTCCCAAGTCTACCATGGTTCTCTTCCCACTAAATGGATTAAATAAAGATTAATGTAATTAATAACGAGTAAATACTTGATTTGAATTTTTTAGTTATATTACATGATTTAATTATTATGAGTTATATTTTTATTTTTATTTTTGTATATTAGATTGGGATTACCAGCTTTGCAGACTGTTTGTGTTTGTGGTTGTTTGGCTGCAATGATCCTTCGGGGGAGCAGATTTTCAGTGAAACAGGTTGCAAAGGCTAGCTGTGGACAGTGAGGATAACGACTCAGATATTCCTAGCTAGTTCCTAAGTTTAGAAATTTTATGAGATTTAATAAATGCATAAGACATATTTCCTTTAGTTAAACTTTAGTCTTTGGTTTTATTTTAATGTAATAAATTTAGCCTTGTACTTGTCCATAGTACAAGTGCGGCGGTGACATTTCCCAAATTTGGTTAATTTAAATTTCACAGTTATTTATGATTTTAGAAGTTTTTTGTTATTAAAAATTGTTAAAAATTTGGGGGTGTCACAGATTTAGTAAGTTGTAGCATGAGGAGTATTAGAAGTACTGAAATAAAATTGATAAGTCTCACATGGTTTTACTAGTCTTATGTAATTGTTATAGTCACTTCATATAATAGAGCCTCTGTTGTGCTATTAAAACACATGGATTTAAACATTGCCTCTTTTTTCCTATTTATTCAACACCTTAAAATATAGGTAGACCTCTAGAATTCCTCGAAACAGAAAAAACAAGAGATACAAAGGTCAACCAAGACATGCGTAACCACTCTCCCAAATCCTCACTCCGTAACTGCCTACCTCTAGCATTTCCCCACGTCCCTTATATATGCCACACAACCTATAACTTTACCCCATTGTTTTCCACACCCATTGACACATAAGCAAGTTTGTTATAGTCCAAACCCCTCTTCTGCCCTTACCCATAAACACTCATTGACACATAAGCAAATGTGTTATAGCACAATCCCCTCTTCTGCCCTTACTCATATTTCCATGTAGTCTAGCATAGAAGCACCAAATATATATCCAAACGAAACGATCAATAAGACTCTTGCTTAGAATTTTCTAACAAACAAAGAACAAATCAAGCTCCATGTGTTTGGTTAGAGAGTATAGCATATCTCTAACAAGAATAAGTTGTAGAACATCTATCATCTTGACCTGATGCCCAATCAGCAACGTAGAAAGCCAGTAGAGGGAGTATCTCATGGAGTTGAACAGGCTTTAGCATAAGACCATAAGTCAAAGTACCCTTTTAATATCTAGAAATACGTTTAGCCACTTTCTAAAGCTCCTCTAGAAGCTAAGTTAGGAATTAGTATACTATATTCACACTATAACTGATTTGCGCTCTAGTGATAGTAGCACACGTAAAGCACCAACAGTGGACCTGTATAAGTGTGGATCAGACTTGTAATCACCCCCAAATTTGGACCACTTGCGACCAGCCACCAACCGTTAGGGTTGTGATACGATCCTAGTAAGCAAATGGTTTAGAAGTTGTTAGGAGAGAATATTGCAAAGCTGAGTCAGAAAAAGTTGTTAGGAGTAAGTCACATTGGATGGCATTGGGTCACGTTCTATTTAAAGGAGGGGTTCAGCATTCGGAGAGGCATCTTGGAAATTGCTTGGACTTGCAACTTGGGAAAGAGTGAGGTCTCTCCAATTGTCTCACATTATCTTTACCTTACTGCATTGTATTTTCGTTTCCCAGCTCATCGTTAGATTCCCTTTTTACTGTAATAGTCGCCACTGTTATACTGTAATTTAGCTTGTAATTGTCTCTGAAATTCCATGAATATATGAAATCCAGTTTATCGGGCCAAAATCCCTTGTTCTCTGTAGTTTGTTCTGTTTTGTGTTGGAAGTCTGTATCAGGTTGAAATACCTTTGGCATCACTTCCAACAAGTCCTTAACAAACTTTCTGTTAGAAAGAAGGGAGCCATCAGGGAGATGTTTAACCTCAATACCTAGGAAGTAGTCTAAGTTACCTAAATGTTTGAGAGCAAACAACTGGGTTGAGCCTGCAAACAAGTTGCTATATGAATGGCAATGAACTCCCGCTAACTGTGATATCATCACCAACACATATAGTGTGTAAAAATTGAACGAAAAGGGAAGGATCACACTTGCTGGTCAGAAATTCAAATTGCACGAGTCTTAGTAAGTCGTTCCAACCAGGCCAATGGAGCCCATTTCAGCATTAGACGGCCTTATTTAATGCCAAGAGATTGTTGTATGTGAACCTCTTCCTCTAGATAGCCATATAAAAGGGCTTGTTGACATAAGTTGTTAAATAGACCAACAATTAGTAACTACCAAGATCAGGATGATTTGAACGACAGGTTTAACCACAGGAGAAAATGCCTTTATATAGTCAAATTCAAGTTGTTGGTGGAATCCCTAGGCCACTAGCCTGGTTTTGTATTTGTAAATGGAGTCATCAATATTTTCCTGCATCCGAAAAACCCATTTAGATCCAATCAAAAACCTATTTTTAGGTAAATGTATCAAAGTCCATATATTGTTAGCCCAAAGAGCATTATACTTAACCTGCATAGTTGTCTTCCATTGGGCATTGGACAAAGCCTGTTTAGCAGTAGTAGGTTCCAATTCTGAGAGAGCACATAGCAAGGCAGGACACAGTCAAGGTTTATATTAGAGAAGTAATATAATAAGATTCATGTGACTTCACCAAAACGCTTCAGCTTATGGGAGAGTTGATTCATGATACGGTATCAAAGCCTCTAAGAACAAAGTAGTCTAGAGTTCAATCCTTGCCGTCTCCTTTTTTCTAATAAAAAATTGAAATTCGACCCAAAATAGAAGTTTTTGTACATTATTCATGCTTCAAGCCCAAAGTGTCAAGAGCATAATAGAGATACAATATAGAACCATCCATGTGACTTCACCTTATAGCTTAAACTTTTGGGAGAGTTTATTATAAACGTCTATATACCATAAGATTTGGACCTAGTTTGGATATGATGAATAGTCAAATGGAAGAGAAGATGACATTATGGTAGATTGTGAGGATGCAGAAGAATTATTAGGAGCAGAAGATAATGTTCTAGCAGTAGGAATAAAAACAGAAGCAAGAGATGGGACAGAAGGAACATTTGCTGGAACTGATGGAGAAGAGGGTGAATCACTATACTGGTTATGAATAGAAAAGGAGGAACTGACGGAGTGCGAGAAAGTCATCGGAATACGAGAAAGTCACTGGAGCATTTGTCGAAGGTGCAACAAGAACCGCAAAGGGTGGTGGAGCCGGATTTTGGAAGGGATTGCGCAAGAAAGCCATGAAAGGACCAAAACAAGCTTCGGATACCATGTTGAAACTAGAGATTGAGGAGAAAATGAAAGAGAGAGAAAAAATGTTTAGACCAGAAGAAAGAAAACAGAAAAAATTGTGTTTCTGAAAATGTGTTTGGTTATTTCTCCTGGATGCAGTTCTGAGATCATGTATTCATACACGTGCCGTAATCAGTTGTGAGTTGTGACAATTAGATATAACTGAATAAAAGGGCATTTATTGAAAGAAATTGTCACAACTGTTTTACAATTGTTACAGCTGGTAGCTCTGAACACTACAAACTGTTAGACACAGAATACGAGAATACTCCAACACAAAGTATCAGCGGTGAGAGGAATTGGTAGAGAAATTACAACGGAAACCACTTGTTATAAGAGACCAAACTACAGCCATTCTTTTTGTTACTTGTACCTTTGACTCTCTTATCACCCTCTCCTCTTCACATTACTCTTTCGCTATGTCCTTATGAATAGCTCAAGGAATTTGCAAACTCAAATATCTTTCAATAAACAAATGATATTAAAAAATTCAAAGGAAGAAAAGAAAAAGCAATCTAAATCCCCAAAAAGTTGCCACTTTGAAACCCAAATACCTCGCCTAGCCGAGCTCGTGCACCAATTACACCACCAACAATTGCTGACATGACAGTGTACCAAATGTGAATATCCATCAGATAAATCTGTAATGTGAATGTATTAGCAAAGTATGACATTGCCAACTGAAAACACGGAAGTACACAATTAAGAAATAATCATAGTTTTAGCAGTGTATGAATGTATTATCTTTAAAATTGCCAAGTGCCTACCTTAAATAGAATTACAATTACTGAAACCAAAAAAAGAAATAAAAAAAATAGAAGTACAATTACAACTATAGACATAAAAGTAGACATATAATTATAATAATATGAACATTTAACATGAGAATTGATATATCACTCAGTAAAACTTTCATTCTCCACAAGCCAATAAATCATGGTAAATTTCAATTCACATTTAATGTCTTGTGCATCAGACTGATGGCAAATAGACTTCCTCTGGTCATATTACAGGTACCCACGTCTTCATGGCTTTGGTTGTTCTGATTTCAAGGTATACAATGTATTTGTATCTATCCACTATAATCAGTACTGTGCAATACACAAATTGAATGTGACAATAAAAGAGAGTCTTCAACAAATATCTAAATATTCCTGATTACTAGATATGTCTTGTATGATACATATACTGTCCTGTACAACACTAAAAACTATAATAATAATAACCAAAACATGTTTTATGTTTCGATAAATTCCCGAGAGCCAAAGCTAGATAGTAACATAAATCCCGGAGTAACGTGAGGAATATCACATTAGACTAATAAAAACATAAAAGATTAGGAAAGTAAACATGAAATAAATAAAAAAATATTAAAACTTCTAACAAACCACATCTGATGAAACTATTAAAAAATGAAAAAGAGAGAACGAAAGAGGAATGGGACTTTAAACAGTATAACGATAATGGGATGAAGTCAATGTACATAAAACGCCAACGTATTTATACCAGTTACTTCACGGTCAAGTACTAGAATAGAACAATTGAAATGACCAGCCCAATTACACTAGTTGAAATTATAAGGAAAAGAAAGAAATGAGAAAAGAGAAAAAGAATATATCTAAATGATAACATTATGATGTTATGAGATAATACAAAACACTAACCTAGTACTCCTATTTACACTAATATTCAAGTTCAAGTACTAGTATAGTATAATTAGTAAAAACCCATGTTAATAACACTGCTAATACATTAAGACTCCTAAAACAATAAGAATCAATATATTTGAACAAGGATTATATATGCACATATGAAATTAAAGTAATATATTTAATATTGCTAATAGACACACCCTAATTTTTTATCGACTTTTCAAATTTTTCTCTACTCTTCTCCAATATGTCCCTACCATACTTATTAATCTCGAATAGCGGCGACCTGACCATCCAAACTGCTACAGCACTATAGTGGGTAGCGCTACAACGCTACTATGTAAAGTGTACCTAAGTGATACACTAAATTGTTCTCCACAAATATAAAACTTAAAAAATGAAAATGTTACATAAAAAATGAAAATATAAAACTAAATTGTACTTCAGAGTACGGGGTGAATTTAATAACTTTTTTAAATAAGTGTTCTTAATAAATCTTAATATCATTAAATGTTTAATCATTAATGCATACCATTTAAATGTTGTAATATTTATAAGAAATAATATAATATAATATTAATCATAATATCTTTTATGCTATACATTAATTTATATATAATATAATTAATGGGATAATAAATGAATAAAAGTTATTCATATTTAATTTTTCTTTTATTAATGTCAAAGTCTGTATTATTTGAATAATTAAATATTTATACATTATTTCAATAAATAATATATATATATATAATTTAAATTTTGTTCCTAATTTTTAAGAAATCAAACATGTTAAATTGTTAAGGGAACGGTAGCACCCACGTTAATAATTAACAGCTCAACCACGATGCTGGAGAGCTATTTCCATTGATTCTTCAAACATACACTTTGAAAAAGCAGCGATTTTTGCGAAGAAGAAGAATCATCGCAGGAGAAGAAGAAGCCAACTTCACTCACTCTAATCTTTTCTTCTTCCCCAAAAAGTCCATAAGCCACTGTAGCGGGCACAATAGCATCGCGATTCAGCCGTTACTCAGACGCAATAGCAGCCATGACAGCCGCGACCCTTCGTCTGACCGTCGCGATGCGGTCTGTGGCGGCAAGCCGCCTCACCGCACCGCAAATCCGCAATATAGCGGCGCTATTCACAAGTATGGTCCCTACTATTTACTTTCAACTGCATAAAAAAGGTGTAATATCTCCACTACTATTTACTTTCAACTGCATAAAAATGGAGTGCTACTTTCTTCTCTTCTTTATTTTAGTAGTTATGGAGTGCTACTTTCTAGTTACTACTAAAGCAACATTATCAAAAACTTAAAATAAAAAAAAATAAAAAGAACAAAACCAAACTCTACAAAACAATCTCACAATCAATTAGCACAATCAAGCAACAGTCTTCTTATATTAATAAGAATAAAACCAAATCAAAGAATACTCACAGCCACAACAGGAGCCCACAAGCTAACTACGGTCAAGGCATTGTTATTATCTGCAAAAAACATAATTTCTTAATATTCATATACACACTAAAGAGTAAAAGAGAGAGAAAGATAATGAGAATCAATGTCAAGGACCGCTAAAAAAATATTTGATCTTACGAGACAAAAAACTTTAAATTATTAAGAACAACACAATTTATTTAGAAAGAAGGACCATTAGACTTTACCTAATACACAAAAATATCGTAAATCGATAAGGCCTGTTAATTAGTGGTTAATTGTTCTCGCTAAGTGATTAAAAGTTATATATGAAGTTATATATTAGCTACATACAGTTAGGAAGAAATTTGTGAATGACAATTGCATTATGTTTTAGAGGTTATTAGTACCTTGTTATCTATCCCCTTGTTTATGCAGACAACATCATTATCATTGGCAGTGATCAAGTTGAGAACTGAAATAACACTTATACAAGGAATTTCAGAATAAGGACCTTGACAAGCTCCGTTATTTCTTAGGAATTGAAGTGGCCCAATCTAGACATGACATCTCCATTTATTAGAGAAAATATGCCTTGGACATGTTGGAAGAAACTAGCATAAGGTGAAAACCTATTGATATACCTATATTTCTTAGGAATTGAAGTGGCCCAATCTAGACATGACATCTCCATTTATTAGAGAAAATATGCCTTGGACATGTTGGAAGAAACTAGCATAAGGTGAAAACCTATTGATATACCTATGGATCCTAATGTCAAACTCCTACAAGGATAGAGGGAGCCACCGGTAAATCTTAGTCGTTACCGAAGACTAGTTGGGAAATTAAAGTATCTTAATGTAATGAAACCAAATATTTTGTTTGCAGTGAGTGTATTAAGTCAACTTCTTGACTCCCCGGGTGATTCTCATTGAAATGCAGCTACCAGGATTCCTCAATACATCATACGAACACCAGGCAAAGGTCTGTCATATGAAGATAAGTGGCATATGGAGATTTGTGGTTATACTTATGCTAATTGGGCAGGCTCTCCCTCAGATAAACGCTCTACTTCAAGCTATTGCGGTACTCTTTCGGGCTAATCTAATTTCATGGAAAATCTAGAAACATAGCTTAGTTGTCAAATCTAGTGCAGAAGCTAAGTATCAAGTAATGGGAGCTGCAACTTATAAGCTTATCTAGTTAAAGCAATTGATCAAAAACTGAGCCTCTATAAGTAATAGCCAATGAAGCTAATTTGTGATAATAAGATTGCATTACACATATGACTTATCCTCGAACCCGATATGTGGAGATTCAGTATGTGGAGATCAAATGCCACCTTTCATGAAAGAGCCAAGCACATTGAAATCGACAGACACTGCCCAAGAAAAGATTCAATTTATGAAGACCGAAACAGCAGTTGTCAATTCTCAGGGTCAACTTGTATACATTTTCACTAAGGCTCTTGTAGGTCCTAGGTCGATCATACTTGTAACAACTTTGGCGCATACGATATATACGCACCAACTTGAGAAAGAGTGTTAGAATATAAATATATAAGATATTTGTATAATTGTACCAAATCGTATAACTAGGCCTCAAGCCAATGTAACTCGTTACTATGAATAGAATCCTTGTGTGGTATCATTATGACACAATTCCTCAACTTCCAGTGTCCGTATCTCTAAATAAATTTTGTAAGTTCCTTCTGAATAATATGAACTCTTTACATCCCTTGAGATTAAACATTCATAGCTTTCCTTGAAATTAATTTTCCCAAAAAATATTTACTAATGCAAGCACTTCATGAGTTAAATGTTTCTTCTGTTTCCATCTTTCTCCCAACAAAATATTGGAAGGAATTCTGGTGCAATACATTCTTTTCATTACATTTAATCAGCTTTTTTGCAACTAAGCAATCTAAACTACCCCATAGCCCAAAATTACACCTTCAAAAAGAAGCAATTAACTTGGAACCAATTTTTAACAGACATAAAATTGCTCTTGTACTTTTATTGAATCAGTCTTGGAAGTAGCATGAATGTGGTATGTAGTACAATTTTTATGCATCTTTGCATAAAGCTTATAGATTTTTTATTTTTTTGTGTCTTCTCTGCTCTGTGTGTGTTATTATACAATGACTACAACTGCATATGCATGCTCAAGTTCTAGATATAGCATCACTAGCAATTTGTATTTTTTGTGATTTTAGTACTTTAAGATTTAGTAACATCTTATATAAGATTTGTAACTCTATGTTAAATTATGATATGCAATTCTATGATTATCACATATTAATTGTATTAAGATCGGTCCCTGTGCTTTCCACTGTTAAGGGATAACCCTAAAGAGTAAAAATATTAGTATTATCCGGACTAAAACCTAATTAGGTGAAAATTATAGGGATCACGGCTTATTTAAACTTTTTCTAAGCAACATATCCTGGCTGTGTTGTTTTATATTTGTAGAAATTTGCTCTATCCCTTTATTTGTTTCATGCGATATCCATGCTTCTTTCTTTGTTTTCTTTGTACCTATCTATACTCAAAAAGTTCCGGTTTCTCAAGCTTTTTACTTCTATTATAATGAATTATATTTTTATCTAAAAGAAGAATCAAATCCAAACACAAAGATAGTACAGGAAACACTGGGGCCTTAAAAAATGAACCATTGAACAAAATTTGAATAATAATGGTATATACTAACTCTTTGAGATCAAATCATGCCACGAATAAGTAAGAGATGGAAGATCCACAATAATGTTGGTAGGTTTGACAAGAGGTCTAATCTGCAATATTAGCAATTAGGGATATATTACAATTAGAAAATTGTGAATGTAAAATCTTTCCACACTCTATCTGTTGTACCAAAGGAAAAATTTCTGTTAATAGAAACGCGATGACTTGCCTGGAGAAAGTATGCAAAAGTAAATTTGCAGGCAAGTATCACCAACCAGAAAACCACATACCTGCAGAAGTTAATAACAGAATTGTGAAAAATCTAAATCACGAAAAGGCATTGCTGAATAGGCCATGCACTATTCAAATCAGTTCGATTTGCTTGGCAAAACCGTAATGAACTGGAAAAAACAATTCCGTTTCGAGAACTGGAAAAAATAATTCAGTTCGGATAACTGAACTGGTTTATATCCAGTTATGACCCAGTTCAAAAACCAACTAGTTCCAAAACCAATTCTGAACTGATACAACAACCATGTATGAACAATAGACCAAAGAATTGTAGTCCAATCAAAAATTGGATTAGATACAGTAACATGTCAAAATATCCTGGGTTTAACAATGTAACAGCTTGCATAAAGGTTTTCACAATGAATGAATATGATAAGTGAAGCATTGTGTACAATATAAAAAAAAATGAGTAGAATAACATAAAAAAACAAACTAAGTTCATTAACTGATTTAAAAAAAAAAAAAAAACCAGTTCGGTCCATCAACAACACATTTGTCCCAAACTAGTTGATGTCGGTGGTAAATGAACTCAAATGAAAAGTACGAAAAGATTTATGAAAAAAAAAGGTTAAAAAAATTAAAATAAATAAATTATACTAGAAATTAAAAAAATAAAGTGAAAATACGGATAAATAAGAGAGAAACATACATAACGCGGAAAAAAAGTTAAATTTAAAAAAATAAAGAAATATACAAAAAAATAAACAAAAAAGAAGTCAATAAATAAATAAGAGAAGGTAAATAGATAGGAAAAAAGAAAAGAAGAGGAAGAAGAAGAAAAACTAGTTTCTAAACTAGTTCGGTTCATGAAATGATTTTTTAAAAAAACTGAAAAAACCAATTCAGTTCATGAACTATTTTGGTTCAGTTCATGAATTGCAAAAAAAAAAAAAAAAAAAAAAATCAGTTCTTTTAAAAAAATTAAGTGAAAATACGGATAAATAAGAGAGAAACATACATAACACGGAAAAAAAAATTAAAATTAAAATTAAAAAGCTAAAGAAATATACAAAAAAATAAACAAAAAAGAAGTCAATAAATAAATAAGAGAAGGTAAATAGATAGGAAAAAAGATAAATAAAAGAGAAGAAGAAGAAAATAAACTAGTTTTTAAACTAGTTCGGTTCATGAACTGATTTTTTAAAAAACTGAAAAAACCAATTCAGTTCATGAACTATTTTGGTTCAGTTCATGAATTGTAAAAAAAAAAATCAGTTCTTTTAAATGCATTGCAGTTTAGTTCACAAAAAAGTTCAAGTTCTTTCGGTTATTTTGCACACCCCTACTACTGAAAGGATGAAAGGTGAATATCAGTAGTAATAAAAATGGACAAATTACCATGCCCAAGGTTCCACGACTTGTTAGGGTAGGGGTGAGGGTCAATTGCATGCAGCCTTACTATTGAAAAAGGTTTTTGTATATTGATATTGAATTAATTACATGAGGAATGAGGAGTATTTATACAAGAAAAAATAGCTAAGAATGACTCAGCTATGACTCACTAAACCTAATCACAATTAATTCTAATTAATTACAATTAATCCTAATTAATAGGAAATAAAAACGGAAAAATATTTGAATTTGAATTCTGATTTTCTACACTCCCCCTCAAGTTGGGAGGTAAATGTTGATCATTCCCAACTTGCCAATCAAGTCTTCAAAGGCTGGCCGGTGTAGGCCCTTAGTGAGAATATCTGCAATCTGCTCTTTGGTAGGAATATACACCATACATACACTTCCATCATCTATTTTTTCTTTGATAAAGTGGCGATCAACCTCCACATGTTTTGTTTTGTCATGGTGAACTGAATTTTGAGCAATACTGACAGCAGCCTTATTATCACAATACACTCTGACAGGTAGGGAAAAAGAGATTTTCAATTCCTCAAGGAGTCTTCTTAACCAAATTCCTTCACAAATACCATGGGCTAGAGCTCGAAATTCTGCTTCTGCACTGCTCCGGGCAACAACTGTTTGTTTCTTACTTCTCCAGGTCACAAGATTTCCCCAGATATAGGTGCAATATCCTGAAGTGGATCTTCGGTCCAATGCAGAGCCAGCCCAATCTGCATCTGTATATATTTCAATTACCCTCTTGTGTCCCCTTTTAAAGAGCAATCCTCGACCAGGGGTGTTTTTGAGGTACTTCAGAATTCTATAAACTGCACTCAGGTGTTTTTCCTTAGGAGAATGCATGAATTGACTAACCATGCTAACTGCAAATGCAATATCAGGCCGAGTGTGAGATAAGTAGATCAACTTCCCCACCAATCTCTGATACTGCTCTTTGTCAACTTCTTTCCCATCTTCGATTCCCAATTTAATATTGGGTTCAACTGGAGTCTCTGACGGATTGCACCCAAGCATTCCTGTTTCTTGTAACAGGTCTAGAATATATTTCTTCTGAGTTAAAGAAATTCCTGCCTTACTTCGAGCAACTTCCATGCCTAGGAAATATTTGAGAGATCCAAGATCCTTCAGTTCAAACTGATTAGCTAAACATTTCTTCAAAGAGCTTATCTCCTCATAATCACTACCTGTGACAATTATGTCATCAACATAAACAATGAGAATAGCAATTTTACCACCATTAGAGTGTTTTAAAAATAAAATGTGATCAGTCTGAGCTTGGAGGAATCCTCTTCCCTTAACAGCTTCAGTAAACTTCTCAAACCACTCTCTAGGAGATTGTTTAAGACCATAGAGAGACTTTTTCAACTTGCATACTGAATCGTCTCCTTTTTCAAAACCAGGTGGTGGATCCATATAAACTTCTTCACGTAGATCACCATACAAGAAAGCATTCTTTACATCTAATTGTTGCAAGGGCCAACCAAGATTTGCAGCAAGTGATAAAAGAACTCGGATAGTGTTAAGCTTGGCAACAGGGGCAAATGTCTCTTGATAGTCTATCCCATGAGTTTGAGTGAATCCCTTAGCAACCAGTCTGGCCTTATACTTGTTGATGTTGTTATCTGCATTAAACTTTATTGTGAACACCCACTTGCAACCTACTGTTTTCTTTCCTCTGGGTAATGCTACAGACTCCCTAGTTCCATTTTTGTTGAGCGCATCCATTTCTTCAAAGACTGCATTCCTCCATTTTGGATCATCAAGTGCTTCTTGGATATTTTTTGGTATTTTTGTACTGTCTAACATAGTGTTGAAAGCACGAAAACCTGGGGACAACTTTTCATATGTGATATGATGAGAAATAGGATGAGCAGTACAAGATCTAGTACCTTTTCGTAGAGCAATAGGCACATCTAGGTTGGTTGTATCAGTGTTGCTAGAACTAAGACTCGAGTCAGAATCCTGGCAGTCTAGAGGCTCCTGAGGTGATTCTCGCCTGCGGTAAAACTTTCCCCATTTCCCGAGAGGATCTCCATTATCTGACACATTAACTCCCCCTGTCTTTTGCATGATGACTCCCCCTGTCTCCAACGGCAAAGGCAAAACAACAGAATCATTTGGTTTCCAAGACTTATCTTCATCAACCCCAATAGACTCCCCCTGAAGAGAAGTCGAAGGAAAAAAAGATTGTCTCTCATCAAATGTGACATCCATAGAAACAAAGACCTTACGAAGTGAAGATGAGTAACACTTGTAGCCCTTTTGGTTAGGAGGATATCCTACGAAGACACATTTAATGGACTTAGGATCGAGCTTGGACCTTTGATGGGGAGGAACATGTACAAAAGCCACACAGCCAAACAACTTGGGAGGAAGGGAAGAATGAGCCCGGAAAGAAAGAAAGGTGTGGGTAAGACAAGATAAAGGAGATTGAAAATTTAGGACACGAGAAGGCATCCGATTGATGAGGTATGCTGCAGTCAAGACAGCTTCCCCCCACAAATATTTAGGGACATGCATGGTAAACATAAGAGCTCGAGCAACTTCAAGGAGATGTCTATTTTTTCTTTCAGCCACCCCATTTTGTTGAGGGGTGTTAGGACAAGAACTTTGATGAAGAATACCATGCTGGCTGAGATAGTTTCCAAGAACAGAATTAAAATATTCAGTACCAATGTCAGTTCGAAGAATTTGGATAGAGGTCTGGAACTAAGTTTGAACCATAGCATGAAAGTTTTTAAAAATGGATGCAGTGTCAGACTTATCCTTTAGAAGGTATACCCAACATACCCTAAAGTGATCATCTATGAAAGTTATACACCAACGAGCACCAGAGATATTTTTTTCACGGGCTGGACCCCATATATCACTATGAATCAAGGTAAATGGAGAAGAATCATGATGGACTCAAGGAGGATAAGAAACACGAGAATGTTTTGCAAGCTGACAAATATCACAAGAAAAAGAACTGGGATTTTTATTGATAAGTAAGCTTGGGAACAACTTCTGAAGATAAATGAAATTTGGGTGTCCTAACCGACGATGCCACAACAAAACATCATTACAATCATTAGACAAACATACTGAGTGGTTCACAAATTTTTTTTCTTCACAAGAATCTTTTTCTAAATAATAAAGTCCTTCTTCCTCTCTAGCACTGCCAATCATCAGCCCCGAGTCCTGTTCCTGGAAAACACAAGCATTGACAGAAAACTTGGCAACACAATGTAACTCAGACGTAAGTTTGCTGATAGAGGTTACAAGTAAGAGAGGGAACATGAAGGACTGAGTTCAAAGTAATGTGATCAGAAAGTTCAATGGATCCTTTTCCAACAATAGTAGAGAAGCTGCCATCTGATGTTCTTATTCGTGATTGTTGATAGTAAGGGGTATAAGAACAAAATAAGGTTGCATTACCTGTCATATGATCTGAAGCCCCTGAATCAAGAATCCATCGACTACTATTATCAACATGGAACGCTATACCTTGTTGAGCAACATTGCTGGATGGAAATTTACTTTCAATCAACATGGCTGCGTGTGGTAACGCGTAGGGCGGACGCTCCGTCCTTTCTCTAGCGCGTGGGGGCGCGTGGCTCAGCAGAATCCGATGATCCTTCTTGAAACTTGTAGATCGGCTCCTTCTGTTTCGAATGGTGCGGATCTTGGCCCGAAATGTCGCCGGAAAAATTTTCCGACGGCTGCTGACGGCGGTGGAAAGCTGGGATTTTGTCTTCTACAGTGATTGGTAGCCTTACTTTGCTCTTGGGACTTTGTAGGAAGGGAAAATAACCTTAATAATGGTTGGAGGTTGAGTTTTTCGGCGTTGTGCCGCCGGTTTGACGGTGGTTGTGGTGGCTGAGTTTTCTCAGGACCAACCTGCTCTGATACCATATTGAAAAAGGTTTTTGTAAATTGATATTGAGTTAATTACATGAGGAATGAGGAGTATTTATACAAGAAAAAATAGCTAAGAATGACTCAGCTATGACTCACTAAACCTAATCACAATTAATTCTAATTAATTACAATTAATCCTAATTAATAGGAAATAAAAACGGAAAAATATTTGAATTTGAATTCTGATTTTCTACACTTAATTTTGTCTTTTTGCAAAAAAGTTATTTTCCAGAATCCAACCTGTGACCTTGTCACAAGAAACAATCTAACCACCGCTCCAAGGCTCGCCCTCTCATGAATATAAGGAGTAATAAATATCGAAAATAAAAAATAAAACTTTCAGACTTTAGTAACAACCTATGTAAGGCATCAACAAAGCAAATGGTAACAATAAAAACATGCACAATTGACAAGCTTCAAGGACAGTAGTTCACAAGTTGACAAGAAATCAAGAATAACAAACATAGTTTCTAAAAAGATTTTTTTGTTAACAAACACGGTCAATCGGTTATGGTAGCCTGTCATCCAATCAGTGAATGTTTATCACAAGATTCACAACAAGATTTAATTGTCTGCATGGCAACCGACCTACAGTAGTCACTCATCTTCTCGTAAAGACCACGTCCAACAAAGTACCGTTCCTGAATAATATCATGGAAAATGCAAAAACACCAAGTCATAACACAGAAATAGGTTGATAATTACCTTATTAGAATTAATTAGTAAAAATAACTCACTTGATAAATCCACTTAAAAAACTGAAAGAATGATTGATCCGACATTTCAGAAAGTGCATGACAGGCCGGAAATTTGAGCAACAGCGCAAGGAATAGACGTAAAGCTGCATAAACACCCAGAACAAGAAGGTATATCCGGAAATAGAATGAATTATCAGAGTTATGACTATTCCTCTCCTGCAAAACCTTCCTGAAATTGTAGCACAGGTATGGTAAAAACTCAAGGAGTTAAGATGCACTTCTCATTACATTGTTGCCAAAAGCAGTTGAAGTGGCCACCTATGCACTGAGGCTGCGCAGAAAACAGCTTCAGCGCCTCATATGCCCTGAGGCAAAGCAAGTTTGATTATATGGACCCATCAGGAGATGAAATTACATCATGCATTTAAAGCCAACTCACTTATTTGACCTCACTTAAAATGCTAGTATATGAACTTAATATAACCTAACAATCCAAGAAAAAATTATAAAAATAGAATCTGAATTCCACCTGCTATGCAGGACTTACAGTCTAGAAGCTGAAGCTCCCTCATCCTCCAAGTCCAAGCCCTTTTTCATATTTTGGACTGAAGCTAATATTTTCTACCTTTATCTCCCTTTATTCTCTAACACTTGCCAATGAGTGTCTCACTTCCCCTCTTGAGTTGCATTTGGTTGGATGTGTACTTACATTGTTGTGTTTCTAGCATTGCCAATTCGGATTACTTTACATTTTTTATAGTATTGTCGTGACTTGAATTTCAATTGTATTTTGGCTATGGTTTGTCAATATATGAAATAATCAATAGTTTTAGTTATTTATCTTCCATTGATGCAATCACATCGCCTTGCCGCATTAAAGTGATGCAGTTTTAAGGGTGGCCACCTCAATCCACATTTTGCCCGTGACAACACTGCTAATTACATTACAAAATAGCTAAGGGAGAATTAAAAACTCACAGGTAAACATAAGTTACAAACGCAGAACTCAAGCCACCCCAAAAAAACCTTATAACCAGCCTTGAAACAGCCATACCCCTTGCAGTGGTGTACGCCCCAAATGTAAGCAACACATCTAAGCAATCTATGCATCATAAAAAAGGTATTTTGAGAATTACTTGCCAGTCAAACGAGCAATAACTGCACAAAACACAAACATCTTACTCTTGATGAAATTCAATATTGCAAATGATGGCCCAATGCTAAGTACTATTTTAAAAGTATCCAAGTTGATATGTCCATGGTTGAAAGCAATTATTGTCAAGGCCTGCATGGAACAGGAATTGGCATACTTTATGTAAATCGTCCACAATAATAGTTCAGACTTCAGAGGAATAATGGACCAAAAAACTAACCTGAAACATTAATGCCAAGAATATCCAAAGACGATGGAAACTTCGATACAGGTGAAGAAATGTTCTATGCTCAACAAAACTGCTTTTACCAGTCTGCCAACCACATGTTGAATATACACGGTACAATTAAGCAGATAATCAATGTGATTAAGCATGCCAAAAAGTCACTATTACCCCAACCCATAAATTACTATCATTCGAACTACCCATTGACACTCAAAATACACAATTATTACTACAAAATTTCTTTGAACAAAGCACTTCAATCAATCTCTCAAAGCCAATTTTGACAAGAACTGACCCAACAAAGCAATACTGACCAGAAAACCTAATAACAAATTAGAGCTAAACAGATGACAATAAGGCCTCCCAAAACTACCAGTACTACAAGACAAGAAAAAGGTCTTCAGTCACAGATGTAGAGCATAAGTTATAATTTTTTGTTTTATTGGTAGAAATGGGGCAAAACACAATGGCGTTTGATCCACGTCGATGATCCCACCTAATGGAAAAAGACCTTTGTTCTTGTCTTGTATGTAGAAAGAGGGCATTATATAAGAGAGAAAAACAACCCCACAAATATAAAACAAGAAAATGAATTATAAAGTACTTACAAGTTATAATCTTGAATATTTTTTAAAATGGTACAAGATAAATAATCATTTTGACATGGAAAAAATAAAATACAGCAAGAAAAAAAACAACCCCACGTCGATGACCTTAATGATAAACAACTACAATAATTATCACAATGGCTTCAGAAATAATTGTGCTGATTGAAAGAAAAAAATTATATTTATGAAGAAAAACTCCATAAAAATAATTACCTAGAAGACTTTTAAAGGATGAATATAGAAATCAACAAAACTAACCCTTTTCTTTTTGTTTGGTTTCAGTAAGAATGATGAATCCATCTTCATTGGCCAGTGTAACTCAAAACAAGCAGGCGACCTACATATAATTGCATATTAGAATTGAGAATTCCGAGTCCAATCAGTAGCCAAAATATTATATGGTATCACTGCTGCTAACCAAAAGTATTCATTGAAGTCATCATAATTCCTCCATGCAGAATGTGCAGCTTTCCCATTATTATTTCTAGCAGCTTCCTGCATTTTTTTGGGGGGGCTAAATAATAGTATAAATAAAAACAAAGGAAAATTATAATTATGCAAAAGAATAAATTGACCACATATAACCTCCTGACACTAGAAAAATATTGAAACTCCCATAAGTACACAAGCAAAAATAATAAAGACAATTTTTTTAAGAAAAGAAGAAATTTATTAAGACAGAAAACAATCAAAAGAAAAATGAGATAAGGGAGGATAAGGAATCCTCCCAAACAAAGGGTAATCAATGGCCGATAATGAAAACAACAGCAATGGATCTTCAAGGCCAGCAACCAATGGGTCTTCAAGCACAACGAAGGCGCATGAAGGGACTTAGGGTCCAACGATGAAGGTTGGATGCAAAACCATGCAATAAGGCACTTAGGGTCAAACAACAAAAGGAAAACTCGAAGTCCAGCAACGAAGGCTCGATCCAAACTGTGAGATGAAGGCATCTAGGGTCCAAAAATGAAGGCTATGGTGGGAAGGCAGCTAGGGTCCAGCAATGAAGGCTGACGGCGGAAAGGCACCTAAGGTGCAACAATGAAGGCTAGTGGATAAGCAATGAAGGCAGATGGCAGTAGAAAGGAGTTTCCTAGATTGGGAGCTCAAAATGCATCCAGGTCAAAGACTAGTTGTGCTAGATTGCAATTGGGACAAAGATCGGGGCCAAACAACTTCTAAAATTACCCCACTCAATGCTATGTTGGCACTGGAAAAGAACAAACTAGGAGGGGAAATCGAGAAAGAGGACAGTGAGGCAAGTCTACTAACGTTCGATTGACAGAAAATCCCACTAAAAAGGATGAATTGAGAGAAAAGGGTAATCGGAAATTATGCATGGCCAATAAGAAGAAAATAATCACGGAGATAAATACATCATGACAATAGAGTTTCAGATTTTAGGAAATTCGACAATGGAATAGTGATAAGATAGGTCATGGAGGATGGTAACACAATGATACAATGTTGAAATTATAGGGGTTTAGGTAAGGAAGGAAGAATAGAGATAACAAAAGACTAAATAATATGAGATATGAATTGGTTTGATGAATTATGATATAATATGATATGACGTAATACAAACTACAAAGCACTAATCCATATCTATATTAACATTAGATTCCCGATCCTAATTAAATAAGAAAAAAGTTATGAAATATAAAAAAAATAAAGAAATTATTTCTAAGATATCGTCTATGATAATCTAAACTATTCTAAGATACAATTAAAATATTAAAATATTTTTTATATATTACCAGTTATCAAATTTTACAATGGGCATTGGCCCCTCGCTAAGCTAGAAGTTCCTATGAGGTGAGGCGTTTTACATTATAACAGATGGCGTGCACAATAGATGAATATTTACATGAATGCTTTCAATAACAAGATGGCAATTTGCAACTCGTTTAAATAAACAAATGTGAAATAAACTAGAATAATGATGGAAAATACGATTTAATACAATTGTATTATACCAAGGGGATGATTAAAGCAACTCACTTTAGCTAGTGTGTCATATATCGGAAAAATTATTTTCTCCAGAAATTTCGCAGAACCATCATCGGTTAAGCAGCTGACAGCAGGTTCAGCTTCTCCATGATCCAAAATAGCATCCAACTCTTTTGCCATCTAAATAACAAGCAATGGGGGAAAGGTTTAGCATTCTTTAAAATAAGTCAGATATTTAACATTATACAAGGGGGCATAACTTGTAAAATTGAAGCACAGAGCCACACAGTACTTTCCTTTGTTCTTTCAACAAAAAAAGAAAGCAGGAAATATTTTTAAAAAGATAAAGAAAATACAAAAAAGCATTGGTTTACAATTTTCCCATGTCTAACATTTTGAATTCAAAACATACAAACAATTTACTTTAACAGATACATGACTACTGTAAAATTGTATTTAAAAATTAAAATAAAATCTGACCAGGACAGCTGCAAGTTAGTCTTCAAAATAGGGAGGCTTAATACCCCTCCTTTTGGTTAGGGTACTGGTCAACTTTACTCCCTTGCCATTAATGGTTAATATTTTGCCACGTGTACCACTCACGAAATATGAAATACAGCAAGTTATTTAATATTTGTTTCAATTAAATGAAATATATGACTAAACATCGGCCACTAATTCCTAAGGGTATTGGCACCCACATCAAAAACAGAAACCAAATATAGCATACTAAGTATACCCATCAAATCATTCATCTTTAAAGGAACAGTCATAATGAAATAAATATATATATATATATATATATATATATGAAGGGATTAATGTTTCTCATGTTGTAGAAGATAATTTTATCTCCTAGACAAACATAAAAGTTTGTGCGATCCACTTTTTCTTTTTCTCCCTCTTCTCTTCATATGGTCCCACATGAACAACACACTTTTATGTGTGTGTAGAAGAAAAAATTATCTCCTACAACATAAAAAACATTAATCCCATATATGAAAGGTATCCAGAGATTATTAGCATACAATTTAGTGCTTGTTAGGTTGATTATTTTACACTCAGAAAAAGCTTTCATTCAAAAGCTCTCTCTGGACAACTTTGATTATGAGCTTTCTAAAAGCAAATTAAGTTAATCGAAACCCGGCCCCCCACCCCCACCAAAAAAAGTACTAAATCATGGTAGTGCATATAGAAAGAAAGATCAAGTATAAAAAGTGATCTGAAAACTATTTGCAGTAAACATGCTAATAGAGGCATTGATGGGCCAAAATTTAGACAGCACAACCAAATACTTACATGGTGGAATATATAGCAAATGCACTCTGGAAGAAAACGGACATTTGCAGCTTCACCCCAAATAAGAAAATACAGGGAAACCAAAAAAAGCTTCCTATCCCGATTAATTGCCTCCAAACTGCAGGAAACATAAAAACTCATTCAAGCAAACTACAAAATAGAAAAGCTACTCAAAGTAAGAGTCAGTTTGAAGTAATGACCTATTCCATGCAAGACGAATTCGCAAGTATTTGCACCATCTGATATAATTATCTAGCACCTTCAAGAAGACATCCTTGATTGTTTTCTCATCTATTTTCTGTACATCCCACCCATTAAACAAAGAGAGAACCAAAAGTTTAACAATTTAAAAAAATAATAATAACATATATGGATTGATGTCTAGTCCATATGAAATTCAACAAAAAATATGAAACCAAACAATTTATCGTTATGTAGAAACACCAAGGGTTCATTGTAATAAATCAGGAAAAATAATAATAATAATAATAATAATAATAATAATTGTGTATACCCTAATATGTATGTATATCATTATATGATGTCAGACATGTTAACTTTGGCATAAGGTGGTGTTATAAGAATAGGCATTGATGTATTTATATGTTGACATTGGTTGCCATTAGTCGTTACTAGTATGCCATTATTTGATTATAAGATTATAACATTAATTGGTGGTAATTTTAATTTGTAACGTTCAGCATTTATTTTTATTATCATTTAATTATGTAACCATTAAGATATGAATTAATGTTAATTAAATTAACCATGATTACCATTAATAATTATTTAACCATTTAATATTATCTGCAATTAATGTCATTTTTCTGTTACAAAAACTCAGCTATAAATAGGAGCTGAACCTAACAAATCAAACATTTTCCGCATCCTCTCCAATTCCCTGCATCTCTCCATTCCTTTTTCTTCTTTCTTCTTTCTTCTTTCCTCCCAATCCTTTCAAATTCTATTATAACTATTTTTCCACTTTAGCAGCCAATTACGTTTTTCAATGTGAATCACTCCTCCTTAGGAAGCCTTCAAACACAGAGTTCAAATAATCCTAATCCTTCTCATAGGTTAGTTTTATATGGAATTTGTTATATATAATACTAATCTTTAGGTAATCCTAGGTTCTTTATATATGAATTTGTTACGGGTAATTGTAATCTGTAGGTTAGTTTTATTATCCTTAACGGATAATAAATTGACGGAGTTAGCAAATGTTTTTGCTAGAAGGAAAGTGAATATTGTTTGCTTGCAAGAAACTAAGTGTGTTGGAGAAAAGGTCAAGGAAGTGGATGGCACAGGTTTCAAGTTGTGGTACACAGGTATAAACAGAAGTTGAAATGGTATTGGAATTATGATCAATAGAAGTTTCAGAAAAAAAAGTTGTTGACGTCGAAAGGAAAGGGGACAGGATTATTCTAGTGAAGCTTATAGTGGGTAACTTAATTTTGAATATCCTCAGCATGTCATACCCCAAGTTGCGTTGCAATCAAACTACAAGAAAAGTTTTATGGTGGGTTCTTGAGAAGAAAAAAGAATTATCGAAGTATATAGATGCAATCAAGGATATGTATGATAAGGCTACTACATGTGTGAAAGCTTATCATGCAAAATCAAGTTATTTTCCAATAACGGTAGGTGTACACCAAGGTTCGGCTCTAAGTCCTTATCTCTTTGCCTTAGTTATGGATGAACTAACAAAAGATATTCAAGAGAAAGTGTCGTGGTGTATGCTTTTTGCAGATGATATTGTGCTTATCAATGAAACCAAAGACGGTGTTAATAGAAAACTTGAATTGTGGAGAAGTACGTTGGGAGTCTAAAGGATTCACGTTAAGCTAGAGCAAGACTGAGTATATGAAGTGTGAGTTTTCTCTGGTAAGAGATGTAGATCAAGATCTCGTGCATCTACTTGGTCAAGAAGTACTCAAGAAAGATGATTTTAGATACCTAGAATCCATTTTGCAAAAAAGTGCAGAGATTGATGAGGATATAAACCATAGAATCAAAGCACGGTGGATGAAATGGCGTAGTGCATCTGGGCTTTTGTGTAATGCAAAACTCCCCTTGAGCTAAAAGGAAAATTTTATAGAACAACAATAAGGCCAACTGTTATATGGAGTTGAATGTTGGCCAGGACATGGGCAACATGAGCATAAAATGGGAGTAGTAGAAATGAGGATGTTAAGGTGAATGTGTGGTTATACGACGATGGATAAAATAAGAAAAAAAGATATTTGACAAAAGGTAGAAGTAGTACCTGTGGCTGAAAAGATGAGAGAACATAGATTGAGGTGGTTTAGACACGTAATGAAAAGGCCCTTCAATGCTCCCGTAAGAACAAAAGTTTGTTACCAAGACCTCAACAAAAATTTGAGATAGAGGTAGACCGAAACTTACTTGGGGGAAGGCAGTAAAACAAGACTTGAAGGAGTGATATATAGATTGGTGGATAGTGTGTTTTAGGACAGAATGGAGAAAAGAAATAAGAATAGTGGAGAATTAGACCCGTTGTTATTTCTATGTTCCAGATGATCCCTTTTTAGTCCTTTTCCTCTTCATCTCCCCCCTTCTTGTTTTCCCTTCTTTTCCTTTATCTATTTTCCCTTCCCGCATCTTTTTTCTTTCACACCCTTGTATTTTTACTTTTATATTAATATATATATATATATATTATCTTTATTTTATTTATTTATTTTTCGTCTTGCTTTCTTACTTTTTTTTGCCCTACAATATATCTCTATCTTTAGTTTACCTTCATATATTTTCCTTCTTAATTGTTTACCTCTTTATATATATCAATCAATCAACATCAACATCACCTTTATCCCAAATTAATTGGGGTCGGTGGTAGATGAACCCACATGAAAGATACAAAACGGTTGAAAATAAAATAAAATAAAAATAAAATAATAAAATAAAAATACAATAAAATAAAATAAAATATATATATATGTATCTATAAATAAATAAAAGTAAAAAAGAAAGGGACAAGGAGAAGTGGGGGAGATGAAGGGGAAAAGGACTAAAAAAGGACCATCTGGAACATAGGAATAACAACGGGTCTAACCCTCCACCATACTTATAGCTTTTCACCATTCCATTCTAAGACATACCGTCCGCCAATCTATATCCCACTCCATTAAATCTTGTTTTACCACTTTCCCCCAAGTAAGTTTCGGCCTACCTCTGCCTCTTTTTGTGTTGAGCTCTTAGTAACAAACTTCTGTTCTTAGAGGAGCATCCAGGGGCCTTCTCATCACGTGGCCAAACCACCTCAATCTATGTTCTCTCATCTTCTCGGCTACTGGTACCACTCCGACCTTTCGTCGAATATCTTCTTTTCTTATCTTATCCAACCTAGTATAACCGCACATCCACCTTAACATCCTCATCTCTGTTACTCCCATCTTATGCTCATGTTGCCTATGTGCTGGCCAGCATTTCGCGCCATATAGCATTGCCGGTCTTACTACCGTTTTATCGAATTTTCCTTTTAACTTAAGATATATATATATATATATACTTAAATTTTATTTTTATCTTTTTTCAATCTCTTTGTATCTTTCATTTGGATTCATCTACCACAACACCAATTAGTTTGGAATAACGGTATTGTTGATGTTGATAATCCTTGTTAGAATAGTTGTAAAAATAGTTCAGTATATATATAGTCCCACATCGTATGAGCTCAACCTATTAGGTCTTTTAGTCTCTTTAAATAGAGAGCTCTTGTACATTGTAATACACTATGATTATTCAATATACAATTATTCTTTAATCTCAACTTGGTATCAGAGCTTTTTAGCTCTGGGGATCCGCTTCAGCTAAAACCCTAAGCCCACTGCTTAGGTGTTCTCTTCTACTTTGTCGTGCATTCTTTCGGCGAGTTTTTTCTCTAAGCCGTGTGTCTCTCCGGCTTGTTTCTTCAACTGTCATAACCACTTCCCGCCGCCAACAACCGCCGCTCGTCACTGTTCAGGCCACCGAGCACTGTTCCGGCGAGTTTTTAGCCCAGACTACCTGCGATCAGGACCGTCTCATCCCAGCGACCAGTTCTGTGGTGGTCCGACAACCGTCGCGTCAGCCACGCGCCGTTCTTCTCCTCTGCGCGTGGTGCCCACGCGCCTCCTTCAACCGGCGCGTGTGCACTGTTCCGGTGGAGTTTTCTGGCCGTTCTTGGACAGAACTTCTCGTCTTCTTCTCCTCTTTCCGGATCTGTGCTTGGTTCTTTGTGGGTCTCACTTTAGACGCGTGGTTCTCCTTGATTGGATATCGTTTGCCTTCGTTTACGGCTTTTATATTCTGTCTTTAAATGGCAGCAGCGTCCCCTGATCTCTCGGAGGTTAACTCTCCTTGTCCTCCTGTTAAAACTTCCTCAGGAATCATCTCTACTAATATTGGGCCCATTACATCTTCCAAACTGAAGGATTCTATCTCTCATGCTGCAAATATAGCTCAATCAGACAATGCATCACTTGGTTCAGTTTCTCTCTCACTTGCAGACTATGCTGCACTCCAAACTCTTCTCAAGAAGGCTTCTCCTCAGTCTCAACCATATACTGGTAATCCTGTTGCTTGTGTTTCTCATTTTACATCACTTGGCACTTGGATATTTGACTCAGGTGCTACCGATCATCTCTGTTGTAATACGGAACTCTTTACATCTCTTACTTATTCTGATCATTTACCTTCTTTTACCCTTGCGGATGGAACCAAAGCCCCAGTTCGTGGGATTGGACAAGCTCGTCCGACCTCTACCTTAGCCTTGACATCTGTTTATTCCAGGCATCCCTTATAACTTAATTTCTATTAGTAAGTTGATCCACTCCCTCACTTGCACCATTACTTTCTCTAACCATTCTGTTTCTGTGCAGGATCCGCGTACGGGGAAAATAATTGGAGTGGGTCGTGAGTCACGGGGGCTTTACTATCTGGATGTGCCTCGTCCTTCAGTGGCACTCTCTCACACAGAATCTCCACAACTTATCCACAGTCGCCTCGGTCATCCAAGTCTTTCAAAGTTGCAGAAAATGGTTCCTCTTTTATCCGGTCTTCAGTCTTTGGATTGTGTGTCATGTCAACAAGGGAAGCATACACGTTCCTCTTTTGCCAGTCAAGTCAATAAACGAGCTGATGCCCCTTTCTCTCTTGTTCATTCAGATATCTGGGGTCCAAGTCGTACCTTGTCTGTTTTAGGTTTTCGGTATTTCGTTACCTTTATTGATGATTTTTCCCGTTGCACTTGGGTCTATTTAATGAAAAATCGTTCTGAGTTATTTTCCATTAATA